AAATGGCGCAAGAAGATCTCAAAGCCCCAGAGCCTATAGATCTAAGCGATGAAGAAATAGCAAAACTCTCAGACGCACAGTTTAAAACACTGGTGATCAGGATCCTCACAGAACTGGTTGATTATAGCCACAAATTAGACAAATATATGAAGGCGAAACTAATTGAAATGAATGGAATTGCACAGGACACCAACAGCAATGAAAAGGACACTGGGACTCAAATCAATGGAGTGGACCAGAAGAAAGCAAATAATGGCCAAACAGAAAAGAGTGAAGAAGCAAGAATTCAAAGAAATGAGGAGAGTCTTAGGAACCTCCAGGACATCTTTAAATGCTCCAACATCCAAATGATAGGGGTACCAGAAGGGGGAAAGGCACAGCCACCAGTGGAAAACTTATTTGAACAAATAAGAAAGGAGAATTTCCCCAATCTGGCAAAGGAAATAAACTTCCAGGAAATCCAGGAAGCTCAGAGAGTACCAAAGAAGTTGGACCCAAGAAGGAACACACCAAGGCACATCATCATTACATTAGCAAAAATTAAAATGAAGGAGAGAATCCTAGAAGCAGCAAGAGATAAGGGGACAGTCATCTACAAAGGAGTCCCCATCAGACTGTCAGTGGATTTCTCAAAAGAGACCTTACAGGCAAGAAGGGGCTGGAAAGAGGTATTCCAAGTCATGAAATCCAAAGACCTACAACCAAGATTGCTCTATCCAGCAAAACTTTCATTTAGAATGGAAGGACAGATAAAGTGCTTCTCAGATAAGATCAACTTCAAGGAGTTCATCATCACCAAGCCCTTATTATATGAAATGTTAAAGGGACTTATCTAAGAAAAAGAAGTGAAAGAAACATGAACAGTGAAAGAACAACAAACTCACAGTTATTAACAACCACACCTAAAACGAAAGCAAACTAAAAGGACAGCTAGATCAGGAGTGGAAACATAAAAATGAAGATCTCAAGGAGGGTTAGCAACAGGGGAGTGGGAGGAGGAGAAGGGGGGAGAAGGTACAGAAAATAAGTAGCATAGACAGTAGATAGAAAATAGATGGGGGGGCAAGAATAGCATGGGAAATATAGAATCTAAAGGACTTGAGACACATGGTCACAAACTAAAGGGGGGTAATGGTGGGGATGGGGGGTAGGGTGGAGGGGAATGAAAGGGGGAATAGAACAACTGTAACAGCATAATCAATAAAAAAATTAAAAAAAAATTTGAAATTTAAAAATTATAAAAAAAAGCCTCACTGGGTCATGCTTTACCATTTTTTATATGTTTTTGGTATGTTATTGAGTATTTTCATATCTATATTCATAGGAAATATTGATCTGTAGTTTTTTAAATATTTTGTGATGACTTTGCTTATCTTTGTCTGATTTTAATATCAGGGTAATGCTATTGTCATGGAATAAATTGGCAAGTATTCCCTCATATATATATTTTCCTTTTTTGCAGAGTTTGAGAATATTGGTGTTAATTCTTTAAAGTTTTGGTAAAATTAATCAGTGAAATCATTGGGCCTGTGATTTTTTTTGTAGGAGGGTTTTGTTTAGTCATTCAGTCTCTTGTTATATAGGTTTTTTAGATTTCCTAAATCTTCTTGAGTCAGTTCCAGTAGTTTGTGCTTTTCTATAAAATGGTCCATTGCATTGAGGTTATATAATTTGTTAGCTTAAAATATTTCATAAGCCCGGGCTGGTGTGGCTCAGTGGATTGAGCACTGGTGCGATTCCCAGTCGGGGCACAGGCCTGGGTTGCAGGTTAGGTCCCCAGTAGTGGGGCATATGAGAGGCAACCACACATTGATGTTTCTTTTCATCTCTTTCTCCCTACTTTCCCCTCTGTCTAGAAATAAATAAATAAATAAATTTAAAATAAAAGATTTCATAATATTTCTTTAAAGTTCTTTTAAAATTTTTCTATGATGCCAATTGTGATGACCTCTTTCATTCCTGATATTAGTAATTTGTATCATCTCAGTTTTTACCCAGATAGTTAGCTAAAAGTTTGTTAATTTTGCAGATCTTTGCAAAGAACTCTTAGTGTCATTATTTTCTATATTGTTTTCGTAATCTCTGTGTTATTTATTCCTACTTGTTATTTTATATTATTAATACTATTTTATATAAACATTATTATTTATTATATTATTTTATATTATTTTCCTCTTTCTGCTTGCTTTTCATTATATTTGTTCTTTTTATTGTTATTTGTTTTTCATTCCTAGACTGGATTGTTAATTTATTGATTTGAGCTCCTTCTTCTTTCCCTTCCACCCTCTTCTTTCTTTCTTAAGTAGACTTTTTTTAAAGAAAGGTTTTAGTTTTTCAGCAAAATTTGGGCAGAAACACAGGGAGTTAATATATATTCCTGCCCCCACATACAAAGCTTCCTCCATTACCAACACTGGTCATCAGAGCAGGACATTTGTGGCAGTCAGTGAGCCCACACTGACACATCGGAATCACTCAACATTCATAGTTTATATCACAGTTTACTTTTGTTGTTTTATATTTTATGGCTTCTGACAGATGTAAAATGACATGTACCCACCATTACACTGTCACACAGAATAGTCACTGTGCTCTGTCTGTCCATCCTTACTGCCCCGGAGCCTGATAATCACAGATACTATTACTGTCTTCATATGTTTGTCTTTTGAAGAATTCCACGTTGTTGGGGTAGTACAGTATGTAGCTTTTCAGATTGGCTTTTGTTCAGTTAGTAATATGCATTTAAGTATCTCCCACATTTTTTCATGGTTTTATAGATCATTTTTCCCACACTAATTAATATTCCATTGTATGGATGTACCACAATTTATTTGCCCACCTACTGAAAGACATCTTGGTTGCTCTCCAGATTTGGCAATTGCAAAGGTGCTATAAACTTCCATATGTAGGTTTTTGTGTGGACATAGGCTTTCAACTCATTTGGATAAATACCAATGAATATGATTCCTAGATACAAGGTAATGGTGTAGTAAGTTTTGAGGGACTCTGTAAAGTGGCTGAATCATTTTGCAATCCCACCAGCAATCTAAGAGAGTTTCTGTTGCTCCATTAACTTGTTAGCATTCGGTGCTGTCAGTGTTCTAGGTTTTGTCTCTTCCAAGGCGTGTGTAGTCATATCCCTTCTTCTTTTTAAAATCTAGGCATTAATATCTGTTCATTTACTCCTAAGCAAGGATTTAGCTGCATCAAATAAATGTTGGTACACTGCATTTTTGTTTTTATTCATTTCATAGTATTTTTATTTTTTAATAGTGTAAACATAAATTTTTTGTATATTATTTAATCTTTATTGTATTTTTTCCAATAATCTTTAGTCCCCTTTTACCCCCCTCCCCCCATCAAAGTATTTTTAAATGTCCCCTGTGATTTCTTCTTTGACCCATTGTTTATTTAGGAGTATGTTGTTTTATTTTCATGTATTTCTGAATTTCCTAAATTTCTTTTCTGTTATTTCCAATTTCATTTCCTTATGTTCAAATAATAGATTTTTAAAATTTTTATCATAAATATCTTTCTAAAAATTACTGTTTGATTACAGTTGTCCCCATTTCCCCCCACTGCTCTCCCCTGTCCTATTCATCCCCCATCCTTCCACTTTCAATCCCCCCACATCGTCTTTGTCCAGGGACCTTTATACATATTCCTGGACCCTTCCCCTCTTTTGTATGATTTTAATTCTTTTATTTTTATTATTTATTTACATATATATATTTAAAGATTTTATTTATTTATCTTTAGAGGGGAAGGAAAGAAGGGAGGGAGAGAAATATCCATGTATGGTTGCCTCTCATGCATCCCCTGCTGGGAACTGGCCTGCAAACCAGGCATGTGCCCTGACTGGGAATGGAACTGCGGTCCTGTGGTTTGCAGGCCCACGCTCAATCCATAGAGCTACACCAGCCAGGGCCTCAATTCTTTTAAATTTGTTGAAGAATTGTTCTGTGGGGTATCTTGTTTTTGCAGAGCTTTATTTGATGCCTGCTTGAGCATTCCCCTTGGTTACCTCAAAAGAACTTGAAATAAACCTGCACTAAATCCCACCCATGATGCCCCCCCCCCCCCATCTACTCCTCTTCCACTATTTCCCATCTCAGTGAAGGTGCCACCATCCTCTGCGTACCTCTGGTCGGAAGTTAAGATCATCGTCTATGTCTTCATATCCCTTTCTCTTTGATCCAATCTATTACTCATTCAGGTTTATTTTATTTTATTTTAGATCTCCTGAATCCCTTAACTTGTGTATATTTCCATGGCCCACAGTGTCATTCAAGATGCCATTATTGCAGAAACTATAGTAATTTCCTTTAGTCCATGCTCTAATCATCTTTACAGGAACAACTGAAATGTTCCTATGAACTGGTTTCCAAATCTCTACTTTTGCTCTCCTGCATTCAGTTTTTATATTACAGCCAGATTCTACTTTGAAAATGTGCTGATCTTATAAATCTTTAGATTATAATCATATTGCATTAGAAAAACACCCCCAGATTCAATTGGGGCCTCGCATAGCAGGTCTGGCTGCAGGATCCCTGTAGCCCCTGTTGCTCCTTCGCTCTCCACCCTCATAGACCAGCTTTCAGTTCCATGACGGCCCTTCCTCCCTCCTGCACAGGGACCTTGACCTTTCTTCCTTCCTCCCTCACTTTACAGTATCCTCAGGAAGGATACTGTAAATCCTCTGTAGTCTTCAGATGTCCTTCCATATTTGCTTTCTTAAGGTTGTTTTCACTGGAGGCTCTTATCTGGGCCTGCAATTACATATGTGTTTGTGTGGCTAATGGTAATCACCTGCAAGCTCTGTGAAGCTGGAATCCTGTTTGCTCACTGTCGTAGCCACGGACGCTGGCACAGTGCATATGGCCAGAGAGGGGCTCAGTGAATGTTTGTGGAGTACAAAGACCACACCCTCATCCTGATCACAACTTCTATCTTCACCTCCTGTCCATCCCTATTCAGAACAAAAGTGGTGCCAGACTCACCATACGGTCTCCAGGTGGCAGTTATTGCATTTCAGTACTTCACAGAGACTCTGTACTGCAGAGCCGCTCAGGAAGTTTCCTCTCAGGTCCAGCTTCTTCAGGGTTTCAGTGACTTTGAGACAGGAGAAGAAAATAAGCCACGAGGTGTTTTTAAATGGGCCCCAGCTGAACCTGAGGGAGAGAGAACCAAAAGAGATGAGACCTGTGTGTGTGGTGAGAGAGGGTATTATGTGCACAGCCCTGCACAACTCAGTGGACTGTGGATTCTCTGAGCACCAGGCCGCAGTGGGCAGGGCAACCACCAGGGCTGGTTAGCTACCCCAAGTGCCCCTCTGCTCCCACTACCCTGGGCTAAGTGCCCCTCTTCCATGTGGTTTCTCATTGTACAGCCCCTGCCATTCTGTACTGCAGTGTTCACTAGGTGGGTCTGTTTCTATCTCAGTCTGGGAGTTTCTTGTGGGCAGGGACAGACATTGTTCATGCCTTTGATCTGCAGTGCCCAGCATAGGACCTGGCACAGAAGTTGGGGATGCAGACAGTCTTCCTCTCTTCGATGCAGACAGTCTTCCTCTCTTCAATGCAGACCAGCTTTTCTTCCTGTGGCACAGATGTTGTGAAGTTCCAGTTCCCAGAAAGGAAAGGAGGAGATGGGAGGAGGGAACAGAGTCTGGGTGAGGTTATTCCAAAATGATTTTGTGATGGGATGGTTGTATATGACTATGTATGCTGCTGTCCAGCTTGAGTGGGACTCTGTCTCCTCTCAGGATAGCAAGACTCGGAGAGGTCTCCAGGAAAGAAATGGGAAAGGGGAATGTTTCAGAAGAGAATATATTCAGGATGTGAGGAGAGGATGATGGTATATCTCTGAGAGGTTTAGTGTGGATTGTCTTTGTAATTTCCTCTAATTTAAATTACATATTTTCACACACTATTTAAGTGATTTTATCTAGTACCAAAGCACAGTGACTCAGACTCTGTTTCAAGATGCAAACTGACATCTCTTGTTTCTTGCCAACTATCTCCACCTTGACATTCCAGTAGCACCTTGACCCAATATGTCTCCAATGTCATTCATCCTCCCTCCAGGTCTGCAGAGCTGAGCAGAGGCAAGGAGCCAGCTGTAAGCAAGTGAATTCCACTGGTCTGTGCCTCACTCGGTCTCCTCGCTGCCAGAAGGGACAAGAGGCCCCGCTGCAGGGGGTTCTGTGAGGGTGTGGAAGTGCTATAGAGACTTTCACAAATCTCAGTGTGGTTGTAATGTTCACGGCTCTAAGATGTACATGTGCTGCAAAGGTACCCAAAACTTATCATTTGAAAGTCAATTAATTGTTTTTTAAAAATATTTATTTAGATTAGGAAATTTACAATACATTCCTAAACTTTCTGTTTACAATACAACAAAACTTTCTGTTTTGTTGAATGTTTGTCAGCTTTAATCTTTAAGCAGAAGGAATGAAATGACAGAATGAAAAATGTGTTATCAAAATGCACAGAGCTTAGCCCTGGCTGGTGTAGCTCAGTGGATTGAGTGCAGGCCTGCGAACCACACCATTGTGGTTCGATTCCCAGTCAGGGCACATGCCTGGGTTGCAGGCCAGTTCCCAGCAGGGGACTCACGAGAGGCAACCATACATTGATATTTCTCTCCTTCTCTCCATCCCTTCCCCTCTAAAGAGAAATAAATAAAATCTTAAAAAAATGCACAGAGCTTAACTAAAAACCAAATACCTGGTAGAGCTTATCACTATCTCATACAGGTCGTCCTTTCCCTCCCACAGCCCTGGGATAGTCTTTGTGACTTCCTCCTGTGCTTCTTGAATTTTTTACAGTATCCCTCCTATTCTCTCTGCCTTGCCTGGCTAACTCAATGTTTTTATTTATTTTAACTTAAAAAATTAATTTTATTGATTATGCTATTAGGGTTGTCCTGATTTGGCCCCTTTGCCCCACTCCACCCAACACCCCCACTTTCTCAGGCAACGCCCCCACTATTGTTCATGTCCATGGGTCGTGTGTGTAAGTTCTTGGCTACTCCATTTCCTATACTTACATCCCCATGGCTATTCTGTAACGACCTGTTTGTACTTTTTAATCCCTTCACCTCTTCACCCATTCCCCCACACCCTCTCCCATCTGGCAACCGTCAAAATGCTCTCCATATCCATGATTCTGTGTTATTCTCATTTGCTTAGTTTGTTTTTTAGGTTCAATTGTTTTTAGATATGAATTTATTGTTCAGAGTTTTGATCTTCATCTTTTCCTTAAATAAGTCCCCTATAAGGTTTGTTGATGATGACATCCTTCAGTTTTTTCCTTGTGTAGGAGGTTCTTTATCTGCCCTTTGATTCTACAATATAGAACCATCAGTTAGATTCATGAGAAACTGAGTTGAATGGAAGTCTGAAAACTACAAAATCAGGTTGAATGGAAGTCTGACAAGTACGGAACTAAAGAAACCACATCCATTCAGACTCATAGGAGGGGTGCAGATGTGGAATGGGCTGGTCCCACACCAATGTGTGGTGGATAAAAATTCAGGAGGGTTATTTTTGGGAGCGAGGAGTCCCAGCCCCATACCAGGCCCCAGCTGAGGATTCCAGTGCCAGAAAGATAAGTCCCCACAATTTCTGGCTGCAAAATTCAGTGGGGATTGAGTTGGTGGAAGAAACTTCTGGAGCCCCAAGCAGTTCCTCTTAAAAAACCCACACATGGGCTTACCTACTCAGATTCATACCCTTCGAGCTCCAGCACCAGTGGTAGCATCTTGAAAGGCACCAGTGGTACACAGGGAGAAACCAAAGTGTCTGGCATCAAGGTGAGCAGATGCCATTATCCCTTTGCTAAAGCTTCCCCCTACAGAGCCAGCAAGCTGGTGCCATGTCTGAGACTCCATCAACCTGGCAAACACTGTTTGACCCACCTTGGAGACCTTCAGAGACTCTGCCCCACCCAATTACAGGCCCACCCCAGCCACTTTTCCAAATGTCTGGTGTTGGCCGAAACCTCACAACTTCCTAAATCCTGTTAAACAAGCAGCAGCTGGTTTCAGTGAGCCCCAGGCCTGTCCCTAGCAGCAGCCAGCTGAGATTCACAGCTTGGCTTTGCCTGGGAATTCCAAACCCAGTCAAATAGCATCCACCTCAGGTCTTTTATAGCTCAGGCAGGGTGCCCTGGGCAAAACACAGGTGGGAGCTGACCTTGGCCTATACCACAAAGGAAACCCCAGGGCCAGTGCACCTAGTGGACAGCCACATACCATGTTGGAGCATCACTACTCTGCCCCTGCACAGCTGATCCTCCATGGAGGGTGGAGGTTGGTGGGAAGTGGTCACAGCCAGTCCTTGCAGCTGGATGGCCTGGGTAAATCCCTCCCATTGATCTGCCATCAGCAATCCAGGCTCAACTACAAGATGAGGGTGTACTCAGCCCACATGAAGGGTGCACCCAGCTTGGGCATTGGAGGCTATGGCACTGGACCCTGCAGGACACTTAGTACATTAGGCCATACCACCAAGAAATGGAGTCAAAGTGGCTGTACCTAATACATAGAAACAAACACAGAGAGGCTTCCAAAATGAGGAGACAAAGAAACATGGCCCAGATGAAACAACAGATCAAAACTTTAGAAAAACACTAAACAAAATGGAGATAAGCAATGTATTGGATGCAAAGTTCGAAACACTGGACGTAAGGATGCTCAAGGAACTTAGTGAGGACCTCAGGAGCATAAAAAAGATCCAGTCAGAAACAAAGAACAATTGAAATAAAGAACAACTTACAGAGAAACAACAGTAGAGTGGATGAAGCCCAGAATCAAAGCAATGATTTGGAACATAAAGAAAACAAAGAATAACCACACAGGTCAACAAAAAGAAAAATGAATTAAAAAATGAGAATAGTATAAGCAGCCTCTGGGACAACTTCAAGAGGTTGAACATGTGTATCATAGGGGTGCCAGAAGAAGAGAAAGAGCAAGAAATTGGAAATCTATCTGAAAAAATAGTGGAAGAAAAATTTCCCTAATTTGGTGAAGGACACAGACATGCAAGTTCAGGAAGCACAGAGAGTCCCAAACAAGATGGACGCAAAGAGGCCCAGTCCAGGCTGCATCATAATTAAAAGGCCAAAGGTTAAAGATAAGGAGAGACTCTTAAAAGCACCAAGAGCAAAGAAGTGGGTTGCCGGATGTTTGCTAGATGGGATGGGGTGGGGAAGTATGGATAAAGAGGCGAGGGGATCAAGAAGTGTACATAGGTAGTTATAGAATAGCTACAGGGATGTAAAGCACAGTATAGGAAATGAAGTAGCCAAAGAAATTATATACATGACCCATCGACACGAACAAAGGTGGGGGCATTGCCTCATTGAGTTGAGGGTGCTTGGTGGAAGGGGGCAAAAGGGGAAAAACTGGGATAACTGTCATAGTGTAATTGATAATATATAATTAATAACAATTAAAAAATAAAGAGGAAGAAGCAAGGCTATAGCTAAAATTTAGCTATAAATGGTAACTCAGTGTGGTGAAAGCTGAAATGACAGAAGTCAGGAGAGGGAATGGGCTTGGGCTGAGAAATAAGGCTGCCCTCCTCTTGGGGTTCACCTGGAGAAAAGAGGCCTCCTTGGAACTTTCTACCACCCTGACCCCACAGAACTTCAGAGTCACTGAGACCAGCACCCGAGCTGGGTCTGGGCCAGGACCCTGTTACACATGGCACCTGGCTGGGTCAGTTTCACTGCCTGGCCTGCATGGGTCTCAGTCCACCACCTGTCAGATCAGAGGGGCTGTGATCTCAACACTGCAATGTTCCTGAAAGATCATTTCTAGGCCTACTGGCCCCACGGCCCCATCCTGGCTCCTCTGGCCTCCTTATGCAGCTTCCTGGCCCAGGTCCTGCTGCAGCTACAGCCTCACCTGGGTGCACACCCATTGGCTGCCACGCAGCCCCACCTGGGCTCTCATGCCAACTAGCAAACCTCACTTTCCAGCTCTGTCCATCTGTCAGGCAAGAGTTTCAAGTTCTTTCTAAGTCCTGGAGGGGTCCCAGAACTCAGGGTCATAGTGTTCTATCACCATGATGGAGGAGAACCCTCTAGCAAAGGTCTGTTTGGAACTGGGGTGGGTAGTGGAATAGGGGACATGGGGCAGTGGGAAGTGGGTAAGGAGGATGACGCTAGCAAGCAGGGTGGGCAAGAGCCAGGTTACTGATCCTGGGGTCCTCCAACCAGGAAGAACCAGGAGGCAGAGACCTTGATTACTCAGAGAGGTCAGGAGGGACCAGCGCACCCACTGCAGCCTGCCCCAGCCTCTCATGCAGAAGGACGCCCTGACAGTGCCAGGTGCAGGTCCTGACCTGGCTCCAGGAAGTTTGCATCTGTGTCTCAGTTCTGCCTCTCCCTCCCCATGTAACTCATGACTCCTCTTTGTGCCTCAGCTCCCTGCACAGGAGGCTAATGCCTCTGCCTCCCACGGCTACTAATAGTAGTGACATCTTCAGTGGCAGCATCAGTAACAGCAGAAGAAGTTATGGGGCCCTAACTAGGAATAGACTCTGTGCTAGACGTCTAACATAGATTCTCTCTTTGACCCTCCCACAGTTCAGGAGGCAGACTCTTACTTGTCCATTTTACAGATGGGGAGACAGGTGCAGAGAGCAGACAAGCGACTTGCCCACTGTGGTGGTGTGGGGACCAGAACCCTCTTCTCCCCCATTCCCTTCTGTGCTCATAGCCCAAGGCCAGGCAAGTCCCTACTTGGGAGGTGGGTGTGAAACCCACATCCTTCCTGCAGGTGCCTTCTGAGTGTCAGCCTCTGGTCCCTCTGGCCCTCTGAGCTCTCCCTCCCTGGTGCTGTGTCAGTCACATGGGTTTCTGGGAATGCCTTTGGCAGAAGTGGGTTCCAGCAAGGCTCTTCTGCTCCAGGAAGCCTCTTAGCTCCAGTCTAGTGTGAGCCTGGATCTCCCTCTCTGACAAGGAAGTCCTCAGTCAATGTTCAGAGGAAGGTCTGCCAGGCGGTTCAGTGTGGGGTGGGGGTGGGCAGGACATGGACTGCAGGTGTGGAATGCTTTGTCTACTCACCTGATTCCAAAGGTTGCCTCTTTCAGAGCTCGAGCACAAAGCTCACTCAGGCCCATCTGCTTCCAGGTCTGCAGGACCAGGTCCCAGGCCTGCTGCTCCCCGTATTGAGCCACCAGGCGTGAGGCCATCTCAATGCTATCCACCTTCTCTGGTTGAGTTGTGGCCACAACCTTTCCCCTACAGAGCTGGTGCTTGTACAGAATCTGATCATGCAGCTGCTGCTGGAACTCCTTCAGCTGTTCCTTCGTCAGTGACTCCAAGTACCATGCCAGTCGCTGCGGGACACCCTCGGACATCTTTGCTCCTCCAACCAGATCTGCTGCAGGGGCCATGTCAGCTCCACTGCTCTGCTTAGTCCAGATTCGTATGGCTTTAGAGACATCCACTGTGGAAGGGGTGCAGTGAGGGGCATCAGACAGGCAGAGATAGTGCTCATCCTTGGGCCCAACCACCTCCCAATGCAAGACTCCACTGGAGTCCTTATCGTCACCTGGTAAACTGCTGTTCAGCATTCTGAACCCACTTTGTAAACCCCAGGGCATCTGCCAATGGATGGTTTTGGGGGAAGGGAGGCAGGGGACAGGAGGAGTACAGAGGAGCTGGGGGACCCTGGAAGGGGTCAGGTTACTGAGCTGTTGGGTCAGGAGAGTGCAGGGGAGGATGGGGGATGGGATGTTTGGGACACTCACTGTTCTGTGCTCCTCAGTCTTCCCTCTCCTGGACCTAGGGTCCTGGGAGCAGCCTTGTGCTGTGATGCTGACAGGAGGAGGTGGGGAGCAGGGGGCACAGGATGGGCTTCAGAATGCAAGATTTGGCTCCAAGCTGACTCTCAGGTCTCTTTCGATTTCTCCTCTGCCTGGGTCAGCAGGCAGGAAGAACACTCTCAGTTACTGAAAGAAAGGCTTGCTAGAGGAAACCACACAGGGGTGTGGCCAGGCGAGGGGAGGGGCTAGCAGAGCCCCAGGCAAAGCAGAAACTTAGAGCCAGACCCCCAGACAGGCCACACTGCAGTCAGGCTTGGGGCAGAAGTTCAGTTGGGCCTCTGTGCTGGGTGCCGGCCCAGTAACATGGAGGGATCCCTGTTTTCACTTGTGCACCCTGGCTGTCCATCACCCAGAGCCTGTCCGCAGAGCCAGGGCTGAGGCTCTTCAGGAAGCTGGGTGTGTGGCCAGGTGAGCTCTCAGGATGGGTGGCCCCCTAAATCTCACAGGGTGGCTCCTTATTGGGGCACCACAGTGGGTTAGGGAGCAGATTTCCCATCCTGCCTTGCTGCAGGGACCACTGAGGTTGTGTTCTGTCCAGGGGCAGTCAGCCTTGGGGCTGCTCAGCACTCAATGTAGTCAACATCCACCTGAAAGGGTAACAGCCCCTGCCTCATTGCAAAACCAGGTTTTGGAGGAGCTTTCTGCTTGGTTTGTAGAATTGGCAGAGCTGTGCACTCCAGGTGGAGGAGGGACATCATCTGAATCATTCCCTGTGTGTAGCAGTTTCTGGGGATGCTTTGAACTGACTTGGGCTGGAGAAGCCCAGGCAGAGGGAGCATCTGCTCATTGCTCAGTGGGCACAGACTCCCTGAGTGCCTGATTCATTTCTCTGAGCCTCAGTTTGCTCACTTATTAAATGGGATATTATAGGTTTGCCAAGAGGTTAAATTTAAGCAAAAGATATTAGTAACCTTAAAAATTGTTATGTAATATTATTTTTTAATGACCAACAGCACACTGGAGGACATTCAAGAGCCAGACCTGCCAGGAGTGACAAGTGCTGCATAGAGGCGGGCTGAGCAGCAGGATCTGAGGCCTCCATGAAGGGCCCTGAGACCCTGTGTTGGGGGAGGTGAGGCCTGGAGGAGGATGCGATGTTGTTTTATTTCCTCCTGACGCTGACTAATGCTGACCCCAGCTCTCTGGACACTGGCTGGGTGTCCTATGGCTCAGTTTCACTCTGACACTAATTGGAGTCAGTGCAGACCCCATGAGTTTAAGGGCCTAGTCCCTCAGGACTGCTCCCCACTGCAGATTTCAGGTCACCCACCTTTCTGTACAAGTTGGCAACAAATTCAGAGGTCTCAACGACCCCCTCCCAGATAATTTGCTTGAGTGACTCACAGAACTCAAAAAACTCTTTACTAACAGGCTTATTAGAAAGGATAGAGGAACGGCCACCTGGAAGAGGTTCACAGGGAGAGGTTTCATCACTAGGCATGACTGAACTCAGTGGCCTCGGTGACTGAGTTAATCTCTAGCCCCTGTCCCTGTAGGTCCTGCCTTGGTCTTTCTGGTGACCAGGCTCCATTCTGAAGTTACCTAGAGGCCCTCACTCCCCTCACTAGTGTACAAAGGACTCTTATCACTGCAGAGACCCCCAGGGTGTGCACAGCAGTGTGCCAGGAACAGGGGACATAACACAAGGTTTATTTGTTGTTATAGCACAAGGGTGCTAGTAGAATTCTGAGTGGAGACCCCATCTTGGAGGTCAAGGTCAGGCAGAGAGAGGTTCATAGAGCAGAAGAGTAGCAGAGAAAAGTGCCCTTCAATGTCCCTCTCCACCCACCTCCCCAGCCAAGCCAAACCCTTGGTGCCCAGGCACTTGTCCCTGTTTTGGGGTTATGTGTCTGACCTGTGGGTGTGACATAGCACTTCAGTGCCCAAAGCTATCAGCTCTGGAGTTGGGAGATCTTTGACTCATCCTTTAATTTAGGACATGACTAGAAGGCCAGCAGAAGCGGGTGTGGAGGCCCTGAGAAGCAATGGACCTTGGTCAGATGTCCCAGCAGGTCATCAGCTAAGCAGGCCAGGAGCCAGATCTGTGCACACACAGGCCAAGGACATTTTCTGTCAGTGCATCTGTTGCATTCTAGGTCCATGGAGTTGGAGGAAAGGATACGGTTTTTGGAGTCAGTAGGCTCACCTCTGCCTTTAGCAGTTTTGTAATTGTGTGCAAGGCAGTGACCTGCCAGGTCTCAGTGTCTACACCTGTAAATTGGGGAGGACAAGCCTACTTCACGGTTATGAAACCACATAATTCTCATGGGTGCTGTTGGCACAGCTGCACAGCCCTAGGTCAGTGCCGAATACAAGTCGGCTGATCCTTTTTCTTTTTATTATGTCCGCCAACATCCTACTCATTTTGAAAATGCCTACTCATTTTACAGGCACCTCTACCATGAAGCTTTTCCTTCTTTGATTCTTCAACCCACAGTTCATTAAGCAGATCCGAAGATGCCCTGAAGTCCAACTGTCTGTACCTGGAGGCTGGAGAGTGTGATGGGAAGTGTAGCGGTTTAGGACCCTGAGGCTGCCTCTGCCACCAGCCAACCTTGGGCAATACCCACTCTCTTTCTTGTCTGTAAAATGAGGAAAAGCCAAGCTCCACATTACTGTGGTAGTTAAAGAACTAACACGAACATTTCCAGCACAGTAGCTGGGATGTAGCACAGGGTCAGTGAACATCAGTCACCTTTGCGGTCTTAAGATCATGGGTTCTTTGAAGGCAGGTAATTGATTTGTCTTTTTTTGGATTTAGAATTAGAGTTCAATGCTTTGCATGGTGTTGATGTTAATGCAGAAGTAATTTAAAATATTAATTTTATTTCATTTTAATTTCTAAGTAATATCTGTAAATGAAGTGTCATCCTGAGTACTGCAAGCAATCTAGAACTGGCTGCACTGAGGTTGCTACTGTTCCTAGTATGTTCTGTGTCTTTCAGTCAGACACACACACACACACACACACACACACAACATATCTGTATGAAATATACAGCTTTGTCATATAACACAACACACATTTTATTCTAAAAGATGCCAAATTGTTTTGTAGGTGATATGGATGCACAGAAAAACCCTGCCTGAGCGGCCTCCCAGGTGTCCCCTGGGATAATGTGGATGTCTCTTCAGATAGAGACGTGGAAGCAGAATCCACCTTCTACAGTTTAGTGAAGCCATCTTGTTACCGAACAACAGGAGGAGGTCCGAGGGAGGGGCAATACAATATTTGGCCCACCTAGGGATGCCCAAAACTGCTATACAACAGGGGCCCCTCCCAAAAACAAAATACTAAAATCTACTGGGCCCTTCTGTCCGCCGCCAATTGGAAAGACATCTCTTAATGCCAGAGATTTGTGAAAAGGAAACAAAATGTTTATTTAATGCTATTCTGGCCTAATGCCTCCACTAAAATATCAAAGTCCTTTAGGTTGTACACCTACACCCACACAGCGCTCCCTTCTCCCACTGTCCCAACTCCGGGTACCATAAATCAGGAAAAGAGCACACGTCTGTGTTGCAGGCCGCTGGCACCGTCAGCTGTGTCACCGTGCAGGCAGGATCTCGAGTTAATCCAAAGTACTGTGGTACCCTCTCATGGTCCACTGGCAAGAATCCTTTGTACCCAGTTCCAGTCAAAGTCTCTGTTGCTTTTCAGGCTCCGCGGCCAAAGGGGGCACCCCAAAGCCGCGTGGGCCTCTTCTACCAAAGCTGCAGGAGTCCGCACTCCACCAAAAGCATGTGGCTGTCTTCTTCACCTGGCTGCAGGGATCTCCATTCTGGCAAAGCTGCGTGGTTTTTCCCTTTCACCTGGGAAAGAGGGGGTCCGCACCCTGCCAAAACCACGTGGCTCCCTCTTTCACCTCACCAAGAGGGGGTCCTCACTCTGCTGAAACCGCGTGGCTCTCTCTCTCATCTGGCCAAGCGGGGACCCTTTGTGTCCTGGAGCCAGTCTTTTCCAAGCTCCCACACAGGCCTTCTCCCTCCGGAGCCCAGACCCTAGTTTCTATCTTGAGTCCTCCTAGTTCCATCCTCAGTCCCCGCTAGTTCCTTCTCCCTGGCTCCAAACTTGGCCACAGCTATTTAACATATCTATGAACCCAGTTAAAGGTTATAGATATGTTAAATAACCATTCCTCCAGAGGTTAGCTCCAAAACTGTTGCTATGCAAAACAGCTCTCAATGGCCTGGCTCCATTCATCCCTTCCCCCTGGGGGGGGGGGCGGTGAGGACATCTTATATGTCTCTCCAATATTTCTATACACTTTGAATTCTGGACACCATTCCAAATCTGGTTTTTTGCCCCCCCCCCGGCTGCACCCTGTATCAATTTGATAACAAGAAAAATAAGATGGAACCAGCAATGCTAGGAGAGTCACTGTAAATAGTCAGGAGGCCGTTAAGGACGTGGGACCTGCACACATCTGCGCCTCAGCTCTCAGAGACACTGAACTTGACACTGAGCTCAGCTCAGGCTGAGCCACAGCCATTCCGGAACAACCACCGCTCCGTGGACACATATGGATTTTCTTTTTTGGAGTTTTTGTCTCTTTTATTTGTATGTTGGAAATAACCAATCTGTTTTAACCCAACAGGAATCCCCAGTTTGAGGTGCAGAAAATGTAACTTTATTCAGTGCAAAACAGTTCAATTGTGCCCTGTCTAGTGTGGCTCAGTGATTTGAGTTCTGGCCTGTGGACCAAAGGGTTACTGGTTTGATCCCAACTCAGCACACATGCCTGAGTTGCAGACCAGGTCTCCAGTGGGCACATGAGAGGCAACAGCACATTGATGTTTTCCTCTCTCCCCCTCCTTTTCCTTCTCTCTAAAAATAAATATATACAATATTTAAAAAGAAAACAGCTCAATTGAGATACAGCTCCGCTGTGAAAACAACACGCCTGTGAGGAGGCCATGGGCCAAATGGCCCAGGGTACTTGGTCCTTCCCAATTAGAGATACAGTGTGTCCCTGACTGCTATGCTTTGTTTAGGTCTGCTCTGCTCTTCTCTGTGCAGGTCAGCTCTGGCCTGCAGTGGCCTGCTCATTCTGCTCTGGCACTGCTGTTTGAGCTCCAGTCAGGCAAACACACTCTGGTGGAAACACACAGTACACTCCCAGAGCTTCCAGGAAGTGACTGACATGGACAAAGCTTCCTGTCCCTGGTCCCTGATTAATTTGTCTTCATGCAAATGAGGCCTCCAAATCCTCACAGTTTGATTGATCCAAAAACACTGTCCTGTTTGTCAGAATGGAGTCACCTCTGATTGCTTGGTGACATCTAAGGTCCAAGGAAGGCCAATGGAAGATACAGCTGCAGCAGCTCTGATTGAACAGGGAAAGCTTCAGTCCTATTGGCTGAAATAGGAATCCAGGAGCTGCTTTAGGAGGGCTGGCTCAGACAGCAGGAACACAGTGCAGGCAGGGAGCTCAGTCCAGGAGGCAGGCAGCTTGTGCAGGCTGCTCTGGGAATGCAGGTTGCATGAGAGGCCCCTCATGCCCATAGAGTTGGCCGCTAGCCTTTCAAAACAACACACTAAGGTCTCTAAACTCTATTTTCCCATCTGGTCAGCTAGCCCCAAAGCTAGCAGAGCACTGGACAGTTGCATGTTCTTCTTAATTAAAACAGCTTCCTTAAGCTAGTTTTTATTTATTAAACACAAGTCTTAGATCTTGTGCACTTGAGAAGGAATTGTGTTGGTTTCTGTTATTCTTCAATTAGTATGAGCACTCATTTGTTTTAAGACAATAAAATAGGTTCGCTTTACAATCTAAATGAGAATTTGCAAATATATGTTGGCAATACCTGGTAGCAAAATATACCTTATCTGTAATATACATACAGAGACATCACAATGATACAAAAGAAAAATTATGGATTCAAATACGTTTTCTGGCAGACATATTAAGTCAAGGTTTTGTTTTGTGGCCAATGTTTTTTGTGCTGTAGAATTGCTTTAAAGTTTTTTTTTTGATATCCAAGAAAGCATTCTATTGTCTCTAACAGGTTCAAAATCCTCTACTTTAGGGATTCTCCTTAAGATCATCTTACCAACAAGCACAAAGAAAAGAAATGGAAAGCAAGTGTGCACAATGAATTTGGAAGCCTCCGAAAGTGCAGTGTCCCCCAAAGGCCTGTTAAAAGGGGCAGATTTCACTGGGGGAAAGGGGAAAGCCTGAGGATAGAAGGGTGCATGGTCTTCTGGAAACAAAGAACGTGGGGGAGAAGAATAAATGGAGCAGCTGGTGGCCAGTGTGTCAGGCCAGAGTGGAGGTGGGAAGTGAGGAATCTTCTGAGGGTCTTCAGTAGACCTGACTTTGATTCCCAGGTACAAAGGAAGAGGAAATGTTTTCCCTTGACCCCCGTTTGGTTCCAGTTCCACAAGTGCTGGTTTCCTTTTCTCATTTATCAAGGCATTTCTCCAGTTAACAGTCATTTTTCCTCTAAGAAATAGTAGTCTCTTGATTTTATCTAGTGCTCTCAAGTGACCTGTTTAAACAGTGTTCCCACTGTTTCTGGGAGGTATGTTATTTTTTTGTTCTAATACAGTGTGCAAATAGACAAGATTTTAGGTATCAAAGAAACCCTATGTTGCCTAACAAAGCTTGAAATCTTAGGTGATTTTTGTCCAGAAACCTAGCCAAATACCATTCTCTGAACTGCAATTTTTGTTGATGCCATCAGCCAAAGTGTCCCAGGCTGCCACCTGGTGGTGGCTGTCGAGCATGGCATGTTTAGAGCATGGGTTTCTCATTTTTCACTCCTTATGGTTGGTGACCTCTCCCCAGGTGCCCATTAAATGTGAATGTCCTCAGAGGTCCCCCTCCTTCTGCAAGTGAGTTTTTGGGTGCTTGTCTCTTTGGGTGTCCCTACAAGCCTTATGGGCAAAGTTTGCTTTGAACCTGGAGGATCCCCTTCCTTGGTACCAAATGTGATGAAGCAAAGTGCTTTCTGGAAGATCCATTTTTACAGACAAATGCAATCGAGGGATGCCCCTCCTGCACATCAAACCTGAATCACACACAGGGGCACTCTCAGTGCAAAAGTTGAGCCAAAGTCACCAGGGAAGGGTCCCCTACCAAACTGAACAAAGTCATTGAAACCACGACCACCACATGGGCACTCTTGGATCTGAGGGGACTTACCTGAGACCCACAGCCACCACCAGGTGGACAAATCGAGCACAAGGGGCTCATGTGGCAAGTGATGCATTAAAAAAACACTTTATTTATTCATTATTGGAGGGAGGGGAAGGGAAGGGGAAAGAAAGAGAAAGAAATATCCATAGATTGCCTTTGGCATATGTCCCAAGCAGGGACCAACCCACAGCCCAGCTATGTGTCCTACTAGAAATCAAACCGGTGACCTTTCACTTTGCAGGATGACACTGCAACCAACTGGGCCACGCTGGTCAGGGCCAGATGCATTGGTTCTAGGATGGTGTCAGGAGATCAGGTCATTGCCCTGTGTTAGGTGTCAGCTGTGGTCACTGGCCAATTGAACAGCAATAGACACCCCCAATTTGGGGTGTGGTGAAGAAGGAGTCTTAGCTGAGTGCAAATAGCTCAGCAGTGAAACTGCACAGATGCAGAATGACAAGACTGTGAGAGAGCTCAGCAGTGTTACAGCTCAGTATGGAGTCAGCACAGCTGTGGAGCAATGTGGCTGCAAGGCAGCCTCCAGTGAGGTGGATGAATGGAGCTGGACAGCTCTCCTCTGCACCCCTCCAGTTTGGTCCACTTGCTGTGTTGTGTGCTCTGGGCTGGCAAGATGTGTTTGCTGCTTCAGCTCCAGCCAGGAAAACACAGTCTTCTTGGAAAGGGAAGTTGTCTCCTCTGAGCCAAGAGGAGCTGACTTACAAAGAGTGAAGCTCCCACCCCTGTCTGTGATTGGTCCATTCTCACCATATTCCCTGAGATGCTGCCATCCCACCTGGACCACTGGCCTGTGAAAACCAAGGGAGGCTGCCTGGGTGCTGATGAAGCTTTCTTGGGCATGGATATGTACTGCCCAGCAAAGGCATCACCGAAGTTTGATAAGTTCATATTAGAAGGCAGGTCAGATGGCAATTGTTTAGAGGTGAAGAAATGGACACCTAAAGAGCAGTCAGGAGATTCAGGGTTCACAATAAGGTGAGGAGCCCCCTACTCTTCTTCTTGGCCCTACCTCTCTTGGAGTTCCTTAATTAGGTGAGGATGGGTCTCCTTTAGAGCTTGGAGGAGTTGATCTTTGCAGGCCCTGTCCCAGGAGTTGCTGAAGCTGAACAGCATCCTCATCTTGTCTGGATTAGTGGGCTCAGCCCGCACCCTTTCATACTGCTCATCGCTTAGCACCTGTCCATGTAGCTTGTCCAGAACTTCATCCACTGAAGTCACTCGAGCCACCAGCTGCTCCCGATGCCGATCCACAAAGTGCAGCTGAGCTGGGGCCTCTGGGGGTGAAGTTGAGGCTGACAACAAATGAAGAAGAGCTTCCACTGCAGCCTCTACTTCTGATTCCCCACCTCTAAGTCTGCACTCACCTTCTCTGCCTCCCTGGGTACCCCCACCCTGTGAAAACATGGACCACCAGAGAGGCCCCTCTGCCCTGCTCAGGTCAGCTTCCAGCCCAGCCTTCTGCTGGAGCTGGGTGTGGGGTTGGGTTCATGATGGAGGCATTTGAGGATGTTCTTTGGAAGGTACCAGGGTCTCCAAGGGCAAGATTATGGACAAGAAAGGATTTCTGCCCAGAAACACATTCCACTTTTCAAGGCCTGATTCCTTGTAAAGTTTGCAAAGGATCCCTTCCTTTCTCTCCTCCCTTCTCTCCAGGAGCAGAAAGTACTTCATAGACTAGCCATGGCTCCTGTGGTCTCCAACAGCTGCTACTGACCTGTGTGGTGTGGAGGGACCAGAGTAGCTTCAGGTCTGATGTCTCCTGGAGGAAAACAGACAGGAAGAAGCTTCTGTAACAGTGGCAGTTGTTAACACAAACAGAAAGGCTTCAACTGCAACATGTTTCTCACTTTGAGAAGAAGGTACAGATTCATTCTAACAGAATTTAGAGAAAGGGCTGCAGATGAGTCCATTGCTCCTGCATATGGGGAAACTGAGGCCTAGAGTCCATGGTAAGAGAGACAGAGAAAGAGAGAGGGAGGGAATAATTTCTACCTGAACACTGAAGACATGTGTTACTTCAGTCTTGGGCTGGATGGTACCCTGGGGGAGGAATAACTGAGTCCTTGGTAGAGAGCTTCAATTGTGAGATCTCCTTTTCTGAGTGGAAGTTGACCTTCTTGTTCCAGTTTGGCCTTCTAGACTCACACTGTTTTTTTTATTTTTAATTTATTATTTATTATTTTATTTTTATTTTTCAATTACAGCTGTTCCCATTTCCCCCCAATTACTCTCCTCCAAACTACCCACTAGGGGTTTATTTTGCCATGTATATTTTGGATTTGAGGTCAGAATCAAAAATCAATATGAAGAAAATCTTAGCACTGGGAGTAATGTGTCAATTTCAATTGGAAAAACAAGTAATAGTAACAAGGAGTGAAGGGTGTAACAATTACTTGCAAAGAAAAAAGAAGGGGAAGTCCACAGCAACTCCTGTGGACAGGGCCTGAGAGTTTGGGCCACCCAAGTTCCCTGTGAGTGGACAGTGTGGGAAGTGAAGTCAAGCACAGGGGAGCTCCAGCTACGGTGCTGGGAGCACCGGGTCCATGTGGATGGAGGGAGGGGGAGTTCCACGTCCTCCATGTTCACTGGACGGTCTTAGAGTCCATCTGGACTCATCCTCAAATGGGCACATCTGCTGAGCAAGGTGACTGGGATGGCAAAGTTTTGAAAACTAAACCATAAGAGGAATGATGGATGGGACTGGTGGTGTTTAACTTGCATAGTAGGAAACTTAAGGGAGGCCAGGATTGGGCTCCAGGTATCTGACAGGCTCTCCTATGGGGTTGGAGACAGAGCCTCTGTCAGCTGCACGTGCCAGAATTAAGTTAAGTTTGCAGGGAGGAAGAGACTGGATTAGTATAGGAGAAAATAACAATAGTGCTATGTTTATGAAAGACTGCTGTATGAGATTACATATTCAATGCATCAGTAGTTTAATTTTTTCTGCAATAAGTTAGGTAGTATGGCCTTCGTTTTATAAACAAGGAACTGGAGACTCAAATGAATTAAGTAGTTTCCCAAAATCACCCAGCAAGTAATTGCCAGAGTGGGATTCAAACTGAGGTCTGACACTGGGGCTGCTTCATGCACAACTGTGATTGTGCCCAAGTGAGACTGAGGGAAACCTGTTCCCTTTCTCCACACGGGGAAGCCATTGTGGCAGCTCAGGAGGCAGATCCAACTTATTTCAACAGTAGACAAGCGTTAGCTGTCTCTTCAAAGAATGTTTAGGGGACATTCTTGGGGGAGTCAGTGCCCATTTGAAGACTGTAAAGTGTGATTCATTTCTGAAAATTTATTATTTAATTCTTGTCTACCATGAAGAAAGCTTAAGGACCCAGGGTAGAGTATTTGCTCTTGCCAAATTTGGCTTAATTCATACAATCATATTATCATCCTGTTCTTATTCTTTCTACTCACATCCAATCTATTATGAGAAAATTTGCCCAAGGCTTTATGGGTATCAAACTGTGTTAATACAGGGCAGTGTGGAGACATGAAGATGTATGGGAGGCAGAACAGAGTTTATTGTCAGATTAACTTTAGCTTAAGTTCTGGTCATGTAGTTATTATGTAACTAGAAATTTTAACTTCTCTGGACTATTCTCATCAGCAAGTTGGAATAATATAAACTCTTTCTCTTACTGTCTTTACACACACACACACACACACACACACACACACACACACACACACACATTCTGTAACTACTTTCTGAGCTGCCTGCATTTGTCTTGACTTTACCTGATTTCACCAATGCCTCCCACACCAGAGTTCCTTCTTCCTTCTGTTTTAGGTACAGCTTGATTTTTGACCTCAAATGGCCAACGTGTAACTCAGAGAAGAGCTGGGCTTCCCCAGGGTTCCGATAGCAAAGCTCCAGTTCCTGTGAAAGGAGTCATCATGTGAGAAGCCACCATTCATCCTGCAAGTGAGGTCTCTTCCATCTGACACCTTCTTGGTCCTGCTCAGCCCCATGGGCACCCTTGGATGATCTGTGCTGAAATTCATCACCACATTGTTGGGAACTCACTGCCTGGTTTCAGAAGCTGTAACCCACCCCCCATGGCTAAGGCTGAGTCAGCAACCTATGGACCATAAGCCACTAAGGAGATAAAGCTGATCTCCCTGGCAGGAGAGCTGCTTCTGCTCCTTTTACTTCATCCATAACTGGCCCCCAATGCTTGATCAGTTAGCCAACGACGGGTAAGATTCCCAAAGAGGGGAATGACCTAAAACAGGCATGATTACTGGGAGGCCCCAGGGAAGGACTTGGGGGCTATAACAAAAGGGGGTGATGAACCCTTGCCCCTCGGCTTTGACCTAGCTGGAGTCCTCATTCTGTCTGTGAGAAGTCTCCTAATCTCTTGGCTGCCTTACTTCCCCTGCCTGATTTAAGCCTTAAACAATGACAGAGGGCGGTGCAGCTGTGTGCTGGAAAGGGCCAGTTCCCTGAGTGATCAGGCCTAAGAAAGAATACATAAACTCCTGTGAAACCTGCTTTGCTAAGAATGCTCTCAATTAAATGATAAAGGTCTGAGCAGGAAATGAGTTTGTTTCTCAAAGTTTTGTAGCCCTTTAGCTAATAGACCCTGACTCAGAACAGATCCTCAGAGTTCTTTGTATTTTATCTATTGTTTGATCTTTACTGCCTGACAATGATTAATGAGCTTTGCCTGTATTCCTGTGCAAAATGAACCTAAGAAAAGCCCATTGAAAAAAAGGCTCTTGGTCCTTCTCCTCTGAGAGATGGGCCACCTTTCCTCCCCAAGCAGATCATGTGGTGGTAGACCTGTTCTCATCCGTGGCAGCCAGGGGGGTCCTGTGGGCAGAACCCTCCACACCTCTTCAGCTTTGCTCTCTTTCTCCTTTTCCACAAATTCTGACCCAGAAGAAAGAGGACACAGCTGGGTGCCCCATGGAAGAGTCAGGACTCATCCACAGTGTAGTGCTCACACATCCTAAACCACATCCTCCTTCCTTCTCCCCCATCATGATGCCAAATCCTCATTTCTCCAGCCCACAGCCTGTCTTCTCAATGGATCACAAGTTTGAGCCACTTTCAACCAAGAGAAAATTTATCCATTTCCATTTTTGAAATCACATTCACACAAACTTTGGGTTCCCAGTGTTTCCAACATGCCCCCTCCCCATTTCTCACACTCAGTAAATGACACTACTACCTACTGAGCTCTCATGTTCCAGACTTAGGCATCATCCCTACCTCCTACATTTCTCTCCCAACACCAAGTCCTGTTGGCTCTACCTCCAGCCTGTCCCTGAATCCATTAACTAATCTTCATCTTCACTGCTACCTCCCTAGTCAAGCCTCCATCAGCTCCTGCCTGCCCTGCAGCAACAGCCTTTTGACTTGTCTTTGTGTTTTCACTCCTAACTTCTTATCACCCTTCTTACCCAGCAGCCAGAGGCATCTGAGTGAAACTAAATCAGCTCTTGTTTTACAAGTCAGACCCTCTAAGACATTGTCATTGCACTTGGAACAGAATCTGAACTCCACATCAGGGCAACATGGTCGATGGGCCCCAGGAAACCTCTGTCTGTTGTGTGACCACCATCCACCTCCTCTCTTTGCTGCAGTCATTGAGCTCTGCCACACTGACCTCCAATTTGTCACATAGAGGTGTCAAGGGTGCCTGCTCCTCTCTGCTCCTGTAGGGCTCTGTCACAGATGTCCCCCATCCAGAACCCTTCTTGTCTCTCAGGTCTCAGCTCAGATGTGGCCTTCTCAGAGACACCTCCATAGACCACCCACATGGCCTGGTGTGTTTTCCCACACTGCTTTATGTTTTGGGTCTCTATTTCTTTAATTATTTATGTAGGTCTCAACCCACCAGGGTGTCATCATCCCAAGGGTAGGGCCTTCTTTGTCTTGTTCAGTTAACCTCCCAACTGCAGCCAGCATGTAGCTGGCAGTGGGTAAACGTTTGTTAAATGACTGAGTCGTGTCTCTCCTCCCTTGTTAACAACTAACACAGCAGGAAACTGTGAGGTGCTCATCCCTGGATTCATGTGTCCCCACTGAAAGGACACACATCACTCCCTCCTGACCACTGCACATCCACTCCATCTGCCATCACCACTTAGGAGAGTTCAAGGACTTGTCTGAGAACAGAAGGAAAAGGATTGACAATGGTTCCACTACAGACTGTCCTTCAGTGGATGATGCTCTGACCCTGAGCAGCACAGTCTGGGCTGTGGTGAATATGGGGATATCACGGCTGAGTGTCCAGTGTCCTGACCACCTCTTCCTCTGGTGAGAATGGGAGAACAAGAGAGGACAAAGGCAGCCCCTGAGGTCTGGGATCTGGTCTGATGCTCACAGCTGGACCTCAGTGTTGTTACAAACGCATCTGGGCTGCCGCTTCAGCCGTGCTGTCTTCCTGTTGGACACACACAATCCCCAAGTGTCCCTTTCACATGGGGTGCCAGGCAGCCCACAAAATGCCAAACACCATCCTGCCCCTCTGCACTTGCGACTGCTGCTTCATAAATTATGGTTTGTGCTGGCTGAGTCTGCCCTCCCCAGAGACAAAGTCACTGAGGTTCCCAGTGACTGAATTTCCCTGCCCTCTGACAACACCAGATAGAGAGCAAACCTCCATTTCCTTGGACCTCCCCCCAGGTTACCCAGCCACGTCCCAGATCACAAATAGGTTCTTTCTGAGACCCTATTCTAAGAGGCCCACGGCTCCCATTGGTGCCTGTTCTCAGGCTGTGATGAGAACGGACCCAATGTGTTCACTACAGCTGTGTTCCTAGTGCTTGTACTTGGAGAGCATCAACACCCTGTAGTCCAACACTTCTCAGTCTCCTAAGTCCACCCCATCATTGTCCCTGTCCTGAATGTGACCCTCACTCCTACCAGCTGTCTCTCTCCCAATCTTTGAAGCCTTCCCTCCCACCTCAAACCCCTCTTGCTGTCAGCTGTACCCCAACTGGGCCTTTCCTGGGAAAGCCCTGAGACCTGCCCCAGAGCTATTCCCAAGCATGACCTCTGACCTCAGGGAGGGGTAACATCAGGGCTGCTCACCTGAGGGATTATTTCCATCTCCTCTGAACCAGACACAGTGTATCGGGAGCCCATGTAGAGTGAGCTCAGTGGAGGTGGCTTGTGTAGTGGCACAAACTGGAATATTTTTTCTTCATCATCTATGGCCTAAGGAGCACACAGAACACTGATCAGGAAGGATGGTCTGGATCTGGCTCAGAGATTCTGCCCTGTGGAATCTTGTTTAAAGTGAGGTGGTACTTCTACAAGTTTCTGTGTACGGAAGAGGCTACACCCTCCATGGCATACTGATGCCCTGGTGACCTGCACCCCCCACCCCCGACCCTGACTGCTAATGGAGAGGCCCACAGTTTGCCTCTGCCATGTACAGGGCTTGATTATGGCAAGGCTACAAAAAAAGTGAGGATGGAAGAAGGGAACAGTTCTGGGTATGGAACCCTCCCATCTTCTGACCCGTGGAAAGAGGCTGATGAAGTGTGAGTGATGACTGATGAGTGATGTGTCCATGGTGAGTGAGGGAGCAGCAAACCTGGCTGGGGGAGGCCTTAGGGGCCCAGGAGACCAGTCCATGACTGAACAGGGGGTGGTTACTCATCTCCTTCAAGTTTCCTGTTCTAAAGGCAATTTTTATGACCTGTTGACACATCTGTGGGGCTGTGTGCGTGCCTGTCATGTCTCTGTCAGCCCACCCTGGCCTCGCCTTTATGGCTTGGTGCCACCTTGTGAATGGAGCAGTCATTGGGAATCAGGTAGAGGTGGAAGGTGACATCCTCATGCTGGAGGTGATAGTAGAGCAGCACGTTGGAGGTGATGGGAATGGGCAGGACAGCACGGATAATTCTCAGTAGAACTCCGATGGGGGAGAAGCTGGGGTTCTCCAGGACTACGTAGTGTGGCTCCACCCTGGCTGGCTCCTCCAGGACTATCCCCTCCTCTTTCATGTGGGCCACTTGGAACCAGGATTTGTCCACATTTTTCCCTGAAAAGAATGAATTCGAGAAAGTAGGATTTAATGTCCTCATGGAGTCAGGCTATGCAGGGGCAGTGTGCTCCTCAGGTGCAGGCTCAGTGGCCTTCCTGCGGGACCCAGCTAGGAGAGCTGGCTGGGCTGGGCCTGGGTTTTATTGGAGCTGCTGGTACAGGGAGCTCAGAGGGAGCACCTCTGGAAGGTACTCAGTCTAAACCTACACTCAGCTGTGGTCTTGGATTTAGAAAACGTATATTGACCCACAGTTAGCTGTGCTGGATTCTGTAACAATGAGGTCTGTTGAGTAAAGCTTGCAGGCCTGACTTCTCACAGGTAGAGAACAGTAAGCAGAAAGTACAGTTGGAAATGGAGTGTACATGGGTAATATACCTTTGTGGAGTGTCTGTCATGAACACTTTCAGATCCTTCTCTTTGTGGAAGAACCTCCTTTGCCCTCATCGTGTGGGTTTTGGCAGGACTCTAACTTGGTCTTCCACTCGGGAAGCTGCTGCTCCCACAAAGCAATGACACAGGTGTGTGACCAGGACTTGACTAAGTGGATGCTTCTAACCAGGACCTTGATCTGGAGGTGGTGCCCCACAGATGACAGGACAGAGGTTCTTTTGGCAGCAGCTATGGATTCAAGGGTCAAGTAGCCATTGTGGCAGGAGGGATCTGCAGGGGCTGTATCTGCAGCAAATGTCTCCCCATTTGACTTGTGATAACCTTGGCTTTCCAGTATTTTTGTTTACTGTTTTTTGTATGTTTGTTTAAGGCACTTCTTTTGTGCATAAATCAGTCAGTTGTGTTTTTTTGACTGCAGCCTAGATCTCTGACCAGTGCACCAGGTGTGAACATTGATGCCACTGGGAGAACTCAAGGGATGAAGGCTGATAGCAAGAGAGACACTGGTCCATGTGTCAGGAGTCCTGTCTCCATCCCTGCGTTGCCTGGCAACTGCTGCACTGCAGGAGGTTTCTGGCCAACTGAGGGACATCAGAAAGGCTCACAGGCCCTCAGTCTGCAAGGGCACCAATGGAAACATTGCTGATCGCTGTCCATCCCAGGAAGGACTGTGGAGATCTCAAACCTCAGTAGTCTCAAACCTCACTTCTCAAACATCTCTGTATCGAACAATGTTCTCCAACAAATTGTTCACAGGAGAAATGTCTTAGAGGTTGATCAAAACTTCAGTTCTCATGCCAAAAACCCTTTCATGTTGATACCTATATAATCAGTTATATAGCTCTTAGTCACAATTCAGTTTTCAAACAAATCACTTCTCAAATAGACTTTAAGAATAAATTAGGTTCAAGAACCAAGGTTCCATTGTAAAAATTGTTTCTATTTTTTAAGCAAAAGATACCACAGTGGTGTACATCATGTGATGGAATGTTGAAGCATTCACCTCTGACCCCACCAAGCAGTACAACTATTATTACCATCTTTCCCTGTCTCCTGAGTCTTTCTCTGCAGCAGCACCTCTTCATGGCTCCATTACAGCAAGGAGCTTTGTCTCCTGTCTTTCCCATGCTGGTTTGCATGGTCACAAGCCCCTGCAGACCTTTCCAAGGTCTGCAGCACGTGGTCCCTCCTAGTGATGCAGCATCCCTGGTTTACTGCTCCCTTGTTTCAGCCCTGAGGTTACTTCCACTTGAGTGCCATGATAAACAGTCCTGCGATGCACTTGTTTCTGCAGAGAATCTGTCTATTTAACCTTGGGGTAGCACTTTGGAATTGATAAAGTCCCAGGGGATGAGAAAAGTGCTGAAAGGACAAGAACATTTCTGTGAGTTGCCATATTTTGCACAGTTGCTTCTCTTAGAGGTCGTGCGCTTGGCAATGCTTTGGTGACACTCAGTGGATGAGGTCACCTTGCTCTCCAGGAAATGGCAATGTCCTCAAGGTGTCAGATAAGGGAACTAAAACCTGTGGAGCGATGTGCTTTTCCCAAGGTCGTGAGCCAGTCATGAGCCAGCCAGAGCCTTGGTGTGAGATCCATGCACTCTGACCACAGTTCTTGGACCCTGCAGACACTCTGTGCCTCACTAACATTGGCTGAATTCTGGAAGGTGCTGTGTGTGGATCTGACTGGCCTTCTTGCTGTGATGACCTACTGTCCAGCTTGCCTGGGACTGAGAGGATTAAGAACTCTATGTAGGAGCTCACCACTGAAGGTAAGAAAGCACCCAGTGCCCAATTCCAAAATTAGGCCACTCTTAGGCCTTAAGGTCTTTGTTTCCATGACAACAAGGAGCTTCACCCCAGGCAGTAGGCAACAGGGAAACATAAAAGTTTTGGTTTCCTGTCTGGGACTAGCTCAGTGAACTATAATGAGATTCTGTGCATTTTTGTGCAGTATCCCAAGGAAAAAGTCCTATCTTATTACAGGGTGAGGTTCCAGAATGTGACCCAGAGAAAGCTGATGGTCATAGGCTTGGCCAACCCTGTGGTAAGTGAGGGTGGAGCTGTTCTTCCCAGTGGTCACATATCTGGGTTAGAATCCCACCTCTAGTTAAGAATCTTCACCTCTCTGTGCTTCAATTTTTCATATGTGTAATGGGGAAAGCCATAGTTCCTAGCTCACTGTGTCATTAGGAAAATGAAGATAATATGAATATACATCGAGCTGCCTTGCATGATATCAGACAAAGAGTGCTCAGTAATTGTCCACAGCTGTAATCATGAACTATGTCCCAAGACCCTCAAAGGAAAGTGCCACCACTTGGTGAATTCACTGCTGTCCTGATGTGGCTTTCAGTCTCAAAACCTTAGGCTAGATTCCTTGTATTGGACAATTTCGTCTTTCTTGAGCAAATCCCATTTTTCAGGCCAACCAGAGGGAAGCATGAGACAGATGAGGGCAAGTGTAGGGTGTCCCCATCACAGGGAGGGGCCAGCTCATCCACCCCCAAGACAGTGGTGTGACTGGGGAGCTGGGAGCAAAACTGAGGCACATCTTGTCCTCTTAGGCCCTGTTGTTACATTCTGGCTCCAGGCCTTATACACATGAAGTCTGTTCCCTGGAATACCCTGGTGTGAGCCGGGAGTGGCAGTATAGCCCTGAGCATTGCAAGCCAAGAGCAGACTAAATTCTCTCCTTGATGGTCAGAGCTGAACGTAATGACTCCACTGGCCAAGCCCCTGTCTCCCTGACAGAGCCCTTGGAGATGCCCTGGGCCAAGGTCTCACTCTGCAGAAGGGGCAGGATGTTTGTTGTGGTGGCTTATTCATCAGTCTATAGATGGTCAGGTGGGAGGAAGTTACCTGTCTCAGCTTGTTGTTGGAGCCCTCAGCACCTGCTCCTCAACTTTCCCATGTGAATGGGCCTCTACAGTGCCTGAGCTACCTCGTGTTTCCCTGCCCACTGTTTACTGCCAAATCTTCCCTAGGTAACTTTCTTTTCCTGGCGATCCTGCCTGTCAAAGCAGGCATCGCTGGACCCCAAGTGTTTTCCCTTGGGACTGGCCTCTGTTTCTACTATTCCCACGTTCTCCTGATGGGCTGCTTGAATTATTTACTAAATCTTGTGGAATAAGAGAGAAAGATGCCTGCATTTCTGTAACCTGCTGAGTCTGCCTAAGGAAGCCCTGAGCTCCGTCCTCAGGACATTGCCAGCTGAAGCCATTTCAGGCCCGTTCTCACCACCATCACCTTTCCTCCACACCCCCACTTGCTTACCTTGGACATCTACAAAGTGAGGGAGGGACACAGCTGCCACAGCTCCTGGTTCAGCCTTGATGTCAAGCAGAGGCCCTGCCACCATCCAGCTGTGCTGTGGAATGATCCGGTTCATGAACTCTTTCCAGGAGCAGAATTCAATCTCAATGGTCACTGGCCTCCTCACTACAAAGTGGAGTCCTGTGTAGGGCCAACGGTAGGAGCCAGCCATGGGGAGGTGAACTCTGGGACAACAGGGAGAGGTAGGCAGTGAATTACTCACTCTATACAACCTCACTGAGCAGCTACTGAATGCCCAGCCCCATGCATGGCCCTGCGAGTCCACAGAGTGGCTGTGAGCTCGCATACCATTGTCAGAGGGATTTGGGTTTGAGTCCTGGCCCCTCAGCTCTCCATTGTAGATCCCTGAGGAAGTCACTGACATCCCTCATCTGTTTTCTTCTGTGTAAATAAAGTAAGAATAGCGCCATCTTCTGGAGTTGTGAGTGATAAGTGACCTAATGGGTGCTGACAGTTATTATGTGCCTGGGTGTGCTTGGCTGTTTCTGTAATGGTGACAGAAATAATAATAATAATAATAATAATAATAATAATAATAGGAAAGGATGATTGTTATTAAAGGACCAATTTTTCTATAATTAAACCAATTTATATGGTAATATAAATGACAACCACTTGGAGCTTAAAGAAACACTATGCAGAGATTGTACACTTTCCCCAGATTCCCTGTGCATAAAGAGTGGGTCCCTGGGAAGTGTCAGCTTCTGTGTGTGTAAGTTGGGGCTAATACTGTCTCCCACTGAGATCATGTCTGTGACAGTGAATGGCACTGTGTGATGTAAGAGCTGGGGACTAGGATTATAGTCATGTATTACTTATCACTGGGAACCCTTGGAAGGCAGGGCTGCCACGTTCACCTCAGGGCCCCTTGCTACTGGTATCCTTTGCACATAGTAAATATTTCTAAAAAAAAGAACATATAGATGGAATGAGATTTAAATGAGATTTCCTAGACATAATAAACCAAATGCAACCTGTGAACTTTGTGTGGATCCTGATGGAACAGACCACCTGCAAGGTCACATCTTGGACAACTGAGTGGATTGGATACAGACTGGGTGTTAGATGACAGGGAAGTAACTTGTAAACACTGTGAGATGTGACAATGGTGTTGTGGTTATAGAAAAAAGGGCTTTTATGTGTATTTTTCAAAGTGTGTTACAAAATATTTAAGAATGATCATTTAGATTTAAAATACTATAAAAACAAAATGGGGGAAAGTGAAGAGTTGAAACAAATATGGTAAAACAATGGTTAGACGTGAGTAATTGGTAAGTGGGACTTCTTTAGACTCTATTTTTGTGTTTCTTTGCAACGTTTCATAATAAAACCTCTTTTTCCATAATAAAAATCACCAGCCCAGTATCTCTGCCCTGCCTCTGCCTGTGGGCTTGGCAATGGAGGGGACCAACTGGGCCAGGAGTCGGGTGTGGAGAGTCTGTTGGGAATCCGTGTGGGGAAGGCGGAGCTTGAGGTAGACTATCCTGGCGGAGTGAGTCCCCTCACTCACCTGTAGAGATTCCTCTCGTTGTCAAGCACCTCTGGAGCCACAGGCCTTGTGGGGCCCCAGAAGTCACCTTCAAGCCCTGGAGGGAGAAGACAGACAGAAGGGTTCCACCTGTGCTACGTGAGGTGAGCTCCCCTCGGGAACAGGTAGGGTGGTGGTCAGCTTTAGGTTCTCCTGTCTGGCCTCCCCCCACTTTTGACTCCCCCATGGAGGGCCCTAACCAAGGCGGGTCTGCCTGGACCTTGGGGGGCAGTGTGTCTGGATCCTGTGTCCCTGCTCCTGGGGCAGCCTGACTGCTGTCTGAGGAGGCCAACACTGCTGCCCTTTAACCACACCCTGCCACCTCCCCCTCCCCACTGGCCCAAAGGTATTGCTATTCCCAGTCTCCACCAGGAAGGTAGTTTGTGAGAGGAACCTGGGTATAAAATGGATGGCCAGGGATGGAGAGGGAAGTCCCAGGCCTCAGAAGCCCAGTGTGGGTCTTGGGAGACTGGGCCCTGGTCAGAGTCTGAGACATGCCAGTGCTGCCTGGAGAGGAGGGGCCTCAGCCCCTGAGGCTGGGAGAGGGGGAAGCAGAGATCTTGTAAGGTTCTAGGTGTGGAAGTTTTTGCATGGGGTGAGGCTGCGTGAGGGGGCATTTTGGCATATCCCACACCAGAGGCAGGAAGATGGAGGGGATGACCTTCCACATCCCTACACCCCTGTCCCAATTAATGATGTTCCCTCCCTGTTCCCTTCAAAATACCCGAATCTGATCTGCGCCATTTGAGTGGGGATGTGTCATCATCCATCTGTCCTTTACCTGGGGCCTCTTTAGACAAACTCAGTGTTTTCTTGCTGGACAGAGAGGCATTCATACTCCCTGAGATCTCAGAAGAAGCTGCATCAGTGCCCTGGGAACGACACAGAACACTCTTGGGCTGATCCAGGTCCAGAACTTCTACGGGTTTTTGACTTCTTGCTGCTTTAGTCTGTCTCTGCCTCCAGCCTCTCTGTATCCCACTTGTGGCCCCTATCTGTAGATTAACTTCAAGCTGAGGCTTATCCTGCTTCAGGTCCCTCAGCATCTTTTTCACCTTGTCACTCAGCTGGGTCTCATCCATGCTGCAAGCACAAAGGGAGCCTGGTTATCCTGGGACCCTACACGACCTCACAATCCTCAGATCCCAGAATCATGGCATCTTCTACCCCCCACAGGAATCAATCATAGGTTGGATTCCATGAAATCACGTTCTGAGATGGAAAATAGCTTTGGGAGGTTTATAAGTTGTGTTCCTGGGTCAATCCCAGGCCAAAGGAAGGGAGGGCGTGCAGGACTGGGCAGATGGACAAGTTGGGCTGTGATGCAGTCTCCAGAGACACAGCTGACTCTGCAGGATTTCTGATTTCGGGGGGACCCTCCAGAGCTGCTCCATACTGGGAGGAGGGGCTGGGTCTTTATATCCTAACAGTGGTCAGCCACTGGTGGCAGGCCATCCCAGGAAGGGTGGCCCCAGATATTGGGGACTAAGATTTGCATTTTGAATAAGCTCTCAGGGATGCTCATGCTAACCCACATTAGAGAAGCAGTGCTCCTGGTCCCTGGCCTCCTCTATTCCTCCAAGGAGCTCAGATCAGAGCCTCTACCTCTGCCTGAAACTGGCAGCTAAGCCCTCTGACCAGCTAAGCCCTCCCATCTTTCAGAACTCAGCTCAGGTTCTTTGTGTGACATGGCCCCAGTTGTGACAGGCCATCCCTGTAGCAAGCTGCTGGGAACACTCCCAGGGCCTGTGGTTATGTCTTCATTCCTGGAAGGGAAGTGGGCAGCACTTCACAGCTGCCACCAGAGGACAGCCTGTCCCCGTGGCCTCAAAATGACCACATAGGAATAGGTCCTGGGATTTCATTCTTAGAGGCTAGATTTTCTGGAAAGAGGGATCCCTGTTCCTGTTCTCACAGGCCTTGTGTGCTGGGTTGTCCATTGGATTTGGGAGCTGCTGCCCTCTCTGGGCCTCCACGTCTTCCTCTCTGCCTACCGTGAGCCATGAACATGGAGGTGAGAAGACCATGCTCCCGGTAAAGGGTGCACACACTGTACTCATTACTGCTGTCAGAGCAGCTCTCCCCTGGGGAGGGCGTGGGGCCACAATGTAGGAGGAGCTCCCTCTCAGGAAAGTCCCGGGGCTCTAGGAAAGTAGGAGGAAAAAGAAACCTTCATAAGATATCCAAAAAAAAAAGCTGCTCTGAGGCCACCAAGAGGTGACCAATAACTGGTGAGCAGGGCGATAATGCAGATGTACAGGCAGGCCCCACTCTGGAGAGGCCCTTCAACATACAGGGTGGTGGCAGCCACAATTGCCCAGTAGAGAGGGGCTGGGGTGTTAGGGTGCCAGCCCCATGGACTGGAGCTCCCTTGGGTGTGAAGGGTCAGAGCTAGCTTTTGGGAAACCCACATGTACAGTGTTTAACTCCTGCTGTCCTGCTCCTCCTGCTGCTCTGGGTTTGAGAAAGGGGGGCCTGTTGGAGGAAGGCTGAGGGCTGAAGCTTTGCTGTTCCCTTTGAGAACCGGCAACTGGAGCCTCAGCCAAGACCTCGGGGGTCAGGACATGAGGTTTGGAGCCCTTCCAGCTCTGAGATTGAAAGTGTGCGATGGGACCCCAGCCAGAGTCACAGGGAAATGTTGCCAGAAACATCCTGTGGGATTGTTCTCAGGCTGGGAAGGAGAGAGAAAAAGGCCCAGAGGCAACGTGGGAATGAGGGTGAGGTCCCTGCACTGCAACCACACCCGGCTCCAGGGCTCTGAGCCTGTGTTTGTCCTGGGGTCTCCCCCGTGCTCTGCTCTTTGCCTGGACTGCTGTTCCTGCCTAGGCCTGGACAACTGCTCTTTCTGCTTCAGATCTGGGCCTGATTTCGCTCCACAGAAAGCCCTCCCTGCCACTCTGTCTAATTCCATCTCTCCCCATGTTACATTCTCATAGCATAGTGCACTTCCCCTACCCAGTCTCCATGGAGCTTAGAAATAAACATTGGGTGGAAATACACATGGTTATGAATACCTGGTTTACTATGGAGTTTGAGATTTGGGAGGTCAGTACCTGTCTCTGTTCCTTGGCAAGTGGGGGTCATGCAGTGAATGAATGAATGAATAAACGACGAATGAGGCAATGAAGGAAAAAGGGGAGGACAGCCCTGGAGTGAGGAAGTGAACTTGGGAGTGCCCCAGAACTTGTGGCCTCACTGCTGGTTATCATTTGATCCTCTCAAGTCTGCTCCCAGGACTGTCTTGCTTTTATATGCATTTTATTTCATCATGGTTGATGAGGTGAATATGACAGTTCCAATAGACAGATGAGGAAACCAAGTCTCAGTGAAGACCTGCCCATATCTCTGGGCCTAAGTAAATGGGGAGCTGGTAGGGAAGGCAGGCTGACAATTCATTATTCTGCTGTCCATTTCAGGGCCCCCCACACCTTTCCATTCTTTGATCACCTTCCCACCCTCTGCCCTGCAGGGACCCACAGAGCCTCACCGTAGGAGCCTGAGTTGACAGGTGGGCTGCCTGAGCCCTTTACAGAGCAGCCTTATGCCCAGGTCACCCAGGTTGTTCTGCCTCAGGTCCAGCTCTGTCAGGCTGGGGCTGTCAGTGAGCATGGAGGCCAGGTCCTGGCAGCAGGCAGATGTGAGGCCACATCTGATCAGCCTGTGGGAGAGATTGGCACAGGCCCATTGTTATTGTTCACAAGGCCCTCTCCTTGGTGTACCTGGGGTCTGGTTTCCCTTTCTGTACTGTGTCCCTGTGGGGGTCCTTGGTGACATCAAAGAAGGACAAAGACGTGTCTGGATGCAGTAACTTGGGAGACTTTAACTTTTTCCTGCAGCTAAGGAGCCACTGAGGATGCAGCTAGTCACTGTTTCTCATTTCTGTATGAGTCTCACTACCTTGCTAGTCTCTATATGAACTTGGTATAGTTAATTTACCCAACATTCCGCTTGCACAGTGGGTCTAATTGTTAACTACATCAGCTAGTCAGACTCCCACTTAGCTTCCATGGGATCCTTTGGTGTGTTTCAACACCAGGGCATCTACCTGCTCTCCAGCCCATCACTCCATCCTGCCCATCTCTCAGTTTCTCTGTGTCCCATCCTTCCAAAAAGCATCAAGGAGGAGTAATTACAGCAGGTGTTGCAGTTTGCTGGCGGATACTCTCAGGCTCTGGAAAAGGTGCCGGGCTCCAATGTCCAGGATCTCATTGAAGCTCAGGTCCAGCTCAGTCAGGCTTCTGTTGGTGCTTAGCCCACCAGCCAGTTCCTGGCAGCCCACTGCTGTGAGACCACATTCAGCCAACCTGTGGGAAACGCACACCGAGAGCCTTGAGTTTATTCACCTGTTGATTCCACTAGCACCCACTGTCTAACCCACTTCTCTGGGTTAGACAGAGGTAAGTGAGACCCCCCCAAACCTCTGAACTGCACAGGTACTGGGGGATGGTACAGAAATGATCAGTAGGTGAATTCTCACATTTGTTTTGGTCAAAAGCCTTTCATGTTTCCATGTTCTTAGAGTTAAACTCAAGGTCCTGGTCTTTGACTGTGGGACACTGCAAACATGGCTCCTTGTCATCTCTGTGTTCATCTTGTTTCCTTCTTTATCTACATCCTCACTGAACTCCTTGCGGTTCCTTAAACACTCCAGGCACAGTCTCCTCTCAGGGCCTTTGCACCTGCTGTTTCTTCTGCCAGGACAATCTTCTCACCTGATACCTCAGGGTGTATTCTCTCACCTGGGTCAGGAATTTGCTCAAAAGGCACCTCGGGGAAATCTTGCCTCATGACCCTTCCTGTTTACAATTGCAGCCCCAGCCCCCATTCCTTTCTGCTTTACTTTCCTCTATAGCCCAAATCACATGAATGTATTTTATGTATTTATTTTTTGTTTGTGCTCACGAATGGATGTTCTGTGAGGAAGGAGTTTACATTTCCATTGAACCCCAGCACCTAGTGCCGTGTCTCACACATAGTAGAAACTTATAAGTATGTGCTTAATGAATAATGGAATAAAGTGAGGACAGTCGTTTGGGTGCTGCTGAAGGCAGAGGAATGAGGGGTTAAATTTGAACAGTGAAGAAGGAGCAGACATATGAAAGGTGCCTTGAAAGGTGGGTAGGAGTTTACCAAGACGAGGTGGAGAGAAGGGAGTCACCTGGTTGTCAGAGTGGGTGTGAGCTTACAGATCATGTTAAGTGATGTTGAGAGAAAGGCTACCAGAGGGGAGAAGTTTGAGGGTAAAGATAGAAAATAACTAGATAGTGGTATGCCTTGCATGTGCTTATTAGATATTAGAACCTTATTCTGGTGACAATGAGGAGGCAGTAAATATTCTTGAACCGGGGGCAATCATTTGTTATTTGCATTGCTTGGCACATGGGAGGTATGGAAAGAAAGAAAAGAAAGAAAGAAAAAGAAAGAAAGAAAGAGAGAAAGAGAGAAAGGAAGAAAGAAAGAAAGAAAGGAAGGAAGGAAGGAAGGAAGAAAGAAAGAAAGCAGTGAAGGAAAAAAGGGAGGACAGCCCTGGAGTGAGGAAGTGGCCTCACTGCTGGTTATCATTTGATCCTCTCTAGTCTGCTTCCAGGACTGTCTTGCTTTTATATGCTTTAAAAAATTTATTTATTTATCTTTAGAAGGTAAGGGAAGGAGAGAAGAAGAGAAATATCAATGTATGGTTGCTTCTGGTGCATCCCCTGCTGGGAACTGGCCCCTGCTGAGAACTGACCTGCAACCCAGGCATGTGCCCTGATGGGGAATCGAACGGCGATCTTTTGGTTCGCAGGCCCATGCTCAATCCACTGAGCTATGCCAGCCAGGGCCTATATGCATTTTATTTCATCATGGTTGATGAGGTGAATATGACAGTTTCAATAGACAGATGAGGAAACCAAGTCTCAGTGAAGACCTGCCCATATCTCTGGGCCTAAGTAAATGGGGAGCTGGTAGGGAAGGCAGGCTGACAATTCATTATTCTGCTGTCCATTTCAGGGCCCCCCACACCTTTCCATTCTTTGATCACCTTCCCACCCTCTGCCCTGCAGGGACCCACAGAGCCTCACCGTAGGAGCCTGAGTTGGCAGGTGGGCTGTCCAAGCCCTTTACAGAGCAGCCTCATGCCAAGGTCACCCAGGTTGTTCTGCCTCAGGTCCAGCTCTGTCAGGCTGGGGCTGTCAGTGAGCATGAAGGCCAGGTCCTGGCAGCAGGCAGATGTGAGGCCACATCTGATCAGCCTGTGGGAGAGATTGGCACAGGCCCATTGTTATTGTTCACAAGGCCCTCTCCTTGGTGTACCTGGGGTCTGGTTTCCCTTTCTGTACTGTGTCCCTGTGGGGGTCCTTGGTGACATTAAAGAAGGACAAAGACGTGTCTGGATGCAGTAACTTGGGAGACTTTTAACTTTTTCCTGCAGCTAAGGAGCCACTGAGGATGCAGCTAGTCACGGTTTCTGACTCCTGTGTGATACTCACCAAACTCACTACTCCCCATATCAACTTGGTGTATTTAATTTGCCCAATGTTCCACTGGCAGACTGACTTTAACTGTTAACTTATCATCCAGCCAAACATCCACTTAGCTAACATGGAATGCTTGGTGAGATTCAACTTTAGGGCATCTACTTGCTTCGCACTCATCCCATCCTGTCTAGCTCTCACTTTCTGCCCCAACCTTCCAAGAGTGTGAATGAAGAGCAATTACAGCAGTTGCTGCAGCTTGCAGGTGGACACTCTTAGCTTCTGGAAAAGGTGCTGGGCTCCAGTGTCTAGGAGCTTGTTGAAACTCAAGTCCAGCTTGGTCAGGTTCCTATTGGTACTCAACCCAGAGTCCATGTCCTGGCACACTTCTGCAGTGAGGCAGCAGTCATCCAGCCTGTGGGAGAGATGCACCGAGAGCCTGAAGTTTACTCAACTAATGATTCTACAGTACAAATACCCACTAGCTCCCACAGGCACCTCTCTGGGTCAGGCAGAGGTAAGCGAGACCCCCAAACCCTGAAATGCATAGGTATTGGGGGATGATATAGAAACAAAGAACAGTAGGTCAGTTTTTAGGTCTGTTTTGATCAAAAGCCTTCCATGTTTCCATGTCTTTGGAGTTAAACTCAAGGTCCTGGTCTTTGACTGTGGGACCCTGCAAACATGGCTCCTTGTCATCTCTGTGCTCATCTTGTATCCTTCTTTATCTACGTCCTCACTGGCCTTTCTGCACTTCCTAAACACTTCAGGCACAGTCTCCTCTCAGGGCCTTTGCACCTGCTGTTTCTTCTGCCAGGACAATCTTCTCACCTGATACCTCAGGGTGTATTCTCTCACCTGGGTCAGGAATTTGCTCAAAAGGCACCTCGGGGAAATCTTGCCTCATGACCCTTCCTGTTTAAAATTGCAGCCCCAGCCCCCATTCCTTTCTGCTTTACTTTCCTCTATAGCCCAAATCACATGAAATGTATTTTCTGTATTTATTTGTTTTTTGTTTGTTCTCACAAATGGATGTTCTGTGAGGAAGAAGTTTACATTTCCATTGAACCCCAGCACCTACTGCTGTGTCTCACACATAGTAGGAATCTATGAGCACATGCTTAATAAATGAATGAAATACACTGAAGAGGGGGCATGGTGGGTGAAGCTAAAGGCAGAAGTGTGGAGGGTGAATTTTGACCAGGCAGGGAAGGAAGAACAGACATACGAGGGTGTCTTGAAAGGTGGGTAAGAGTACATCTAGATGAGATGGAGAGAAGGGCATCACCTGGTTGTCAGAGTGGGTGTGAGCTTACAGATCATGTTAAGTGATGTTGAGAGAAAGGCTGCCAGAGGGGAGAAGTTTGAGGGTAAAGATAGAATATAACTAGATAGTGGTATGCCTTGAATGTGCTTATTAGATATTTGGATCTTATTCTGGTGGCAATGAGGAGTCAGTAAATATTCTTGAACCGGGGGTAGTCATTTGTTATTTGCATTGCTTGGCACATGGGAGGTATGAAATGAATGAATGAAAGAAATAAAGAATGAATGAATGAATGAATGAGGCAGTGAAGGAAGGAAGGGAAGGCAGCCCTGGAGTGAGGAAGTGAACCTGGGAGTCCCCCAGAACATGTGGCCTCACTGCTGGTTATCATTTGATCCTCTCAAGTCTGCTCCTAGGACTGTCTTGCTTTTACATGCATTTTATTTCATCATGGTTGATGAGGTGAATATGACAGTTTCAACAGACAGACGAGGAAACCAAGTCTCAGTGAAGACCTGCCCATATCTCTGGGCCTAAGTAAATGGGGAGCTGGTAGGGAAGGCAGGCTGACAATTCATTATTCTGCTGTCCATTTCAGGGCCCCCCACATCTTTCCATTCTTTGATCACCTTCCCACCCTCTGCCCTGCAGGGTCTCACAGGGCCTTACCATAGGAGCCTGAGTTGGCAGGTGGGCTGCCCGAGCCCTTTACAGAGCAGCCTCATGCCCAGGTCACCCAGGTTGTTCTGCCTCAGGTCCAGGTCTGTCAGGCTGGGGCTGTCAGTGAGCATGGAGGCCAGGTCCTGGCAGCAGGCAGATGTGAGGCCACATCTGATCAGCCTGTGAGAGAGATTTGCATGGGTCCATTGTCACTGTTTGCAATGCCCTCCTTGTTGTAAATGGGGTCTGGTTTACCTTTCTGTGTCCCTGTGGGGGTCCTTGGTGACATCAAAGAAGGACAAAGATATGCTAGGCGGCAGTAACCTGAGTGATTTTAACTTTCTCCTTAGCTAAGGAGCCACTGAGGATACAGCTAGTCACTGTTTCTCATTTCTGTATGAGTCTCACTACCTTGCTAGTCTCTATATGAACTTGGTATAGTTAATTTACCCAACATTCCGCTTGCACAGTGGGTCTAATTGTTAACTACATCAGCTAGTCAGACTCCCACTTAGCTGAAATGGAATGCTTTGGTGTGTTTCAACACGAGGGCATCTACCTGAATACCACCCCATCACCCCATTCAGCCTAGCTGTCACGTTCTGTCCTCTTCATCCTTCCAAGTAGTGTCAGTGAAGAGCAATTACAGCAATCGCTGCAGCTTGCAGGTGGACACTCTCAGTCTTTTGAAAAGGTACTGGGCTCCGATGTCCAGAAGCTTGTTGAAGCTCAGGTCCAGGTTGGTCAGGTTCCTGTTGGTGCTGAGCTCACAGGCCAGTTCCTGGCAGTTCTTTGCTGTGAGGCCACAGTCAGCCAGCCTGTGGGAGACATGCACAGATAACCTTGAGTTTACTTACCTGTTGATTGTATAGTACACACACCCAGTAGCACCCACTGGCACCTCTCTGGGTCAGGCAGAGGTAAGTGGGACCCCCAAACCCATAGTAATCACATGTACCAGGGGATGAAATAGAAACAAAAAACACTAACTTTGTTCTCAGGTCCGTTTAGATCAAAAGCCTGTTATGTTTCCATGTCTTTGGAGTTAAACTCAAGGACCTGGTCTTTGACTGCTGGACACTGCAGACCTGGCTCCTTGTCATCTCTGTGCTCATCTTGTATCCTTCTTTATCTGCGTCTTCACTGGCCTTTCTGCACTTCCTAAACACTCCAGGCACAGTCTCCCCTCAGGGTCTTTGCACCTGCTGTTTCTTCTGCCAGGACAATCTTCTCACCTGATACCTCAGGGTGTATTCTCTCACCTGGGTCAGGAATTTACTCAAAAGGCACCTCGGGGAAATCTTGCTCATGACCCTTCCTGTTTAAAATTGCAGCCCCAGCCCCCATTCCTTTCTGCTTTACTTTCCTCTATAGCCCAAATCACATGAAAATATTTTACATTATTTATTTGTTTTTTGTTTGTTCTCACGAATGGATGTTCTGTGAGGAAGGAGTTTACATTTCCATTGAACCCCAGCACGTAGTGCATGTCTCACACATAGTAGGAACTTATAAGTATGTGATTAATGAATGAATGAAATAGAGTGAAGAGGGGGCATGATGGGTGAAGCTGAAGGCAGAGGTATGGAGGGTGAATTTTGACCAGGCAGGGAAGGAGGAGCAGACATACAATAGTGTCTTGAAAGGTGGGTAGGAGCTTACCAAGACGAGGTGAAGGGAGGAGAGTCTCCTGTCTGGCAGAATGGGTGTGAGTGTATAGCACATAATGTTTAATGAACTTGAGAGAAGAGCCACCTGAAGCTTGATGCAGTTTTAGGGTAAAGATAGAAAGTATGAAGTTAGTGGTATGCCTTGAATGTGCTTATTAGATATTTGGATCTTGTTCTGGTGGCAATGAGGAGCCAGTAAAATTTCTTGTGTCGGGTATTCATGTGATTTTGCATTGCTTGGCACATAGGAGGCATGGAATGAATGAATAAATTATGAATGAGGCAGTGAGGAAGGAAGGGAGGACTCCCTGAGGTGGGGAAGTGAACCTGGGAGTCCCCTAGAACACGTGGCCTCAGTGCTGGTTATCATTTGATCCTCTCTAGTCTGCTCACAGGACTGTCCTGCTTTCACATGCATTGTATTTCATCACAGTGTAGATGGATATGAGGTTCCATTATACAGATGAAGAAATTCTTTCTCATGTGTAGTCGTGCTTGCGTCTCTTGGCCCTAGCAAGCAGCAGAGCTCTAGGGAAGGCAGGCTGGCAATCCATTTTTTGGTCCTTCTACTTCCCCTGTTCAGTTCAGGGATCCAGACCCCTTTCCACTCCTCCCTGTTCTCATACCTGCCCTCTGCCCTGCAGAGACCCACAGAGCCTTACCGTAGGAGCCTAAGTTGGCAGGTGGGCTGTCCAAGCCCTTTACAGAGCAGCCTTATGCCCAGATCACCTAGGTTGTTCTGCCTCAGGTCCAGCTCTGTCAGGCTTGGGCTGTCAGTGAGCATGAAGGCCAGGTCCTGGCAGCAGGCAAATGTGAGGCCACATCTGATCAGCCTGTGGGAGAGATTTGCATGGCTCTATTGTCATTGTTTGCAAGGCCCCTCCTTGGGGTAACTGGGGTCTGGTTTTCCTTTCTAGTACCTATGGCCCTTTGTGGGGTCCTTGGTGACAACAAAGGAAGACAAAGACATGTTTGGGTTTCAGTAATCTTGAAGACTTTGTCTCCTCCTAAAGCTAAGGAACCACTAAGGATGCAGCTAGTCACCTTTTCTCATTCCTCTGTGACACTCACCAACCTTGCTACTCCCCATATCAACTTGGTACTATTATCCAATATTTCAGTTACACACTGGATCTATTTGTTGACTCAGCCTGCCATTTGCCCACTTAGCTGCCATGGGATCCTTTGGTGTGTTTCAACACCAGGGCATCTACCTGCTCTCCAGCCCATCACTCCATCCTGCCCATCTCTCAGTTTCTCTGTGTCCCATCCTTCCAAAAAGCATCAAGGAGGAGTAATTACAGCAGGTGTTGCAGTTTGCTGGTGGATACTCTCAGGCTCTGGAAAAGGTGCCTGGCTCCAATGTCCAGGATCTCATTGAAGCTCAGGTCCAGCTCAGTCAGGCTTCTGTTGGTGCTTAGCCCACCAGCCAGTTCCTGGCAGCCCACTGCTGTGAGACCACATTCAGCCAACCTGTGGGAAACGCACACCGAGAGCCTTGAGTTTATTCACCTGTTGATTCCACTAGCACCCACTGTCTAACCCACTTCTCTGGGTTAGACAGAGGTAAGTGAGACCCCCCCCCAAACCTCTGAACTGCACAGGTACTGGGGGATGGTACAGAAATGATCAGTAGGTGAATTCTCACTTTTGTTTTGGTCAAAAGCCTTTCATGTTTCTATGTCTTTGGAGGTAAACTCAAGGTCCTGGTCTTTGACTGTGGGACACTAAACATGGCTCCTTGTCATCTCTGTGCTCATCTTGTTTCCTTCTTTATCTACATCCTCACTGAACTCCTTGCGGTTCCTTAAACACTCCAGGCACAGTCTCCTCTCAGGGCCTTTGCACCTGCTGTTTCTTCTGCCAGGACAATCTTCTCACCTCCCCATAGGGAGGTGTATTCTCTCACCTGGGTCAGGAATTTGCTCAAAAGGCACCTCGGGGAAATCTTGCCTCATGACCCTTCCTGTTTAAAATTGCAGCCCCAGCCCCCATTCCTTTCTGCTTTATTTTCCTCTATAGCCCAAATCACATGAAAATATTTTACATTATTTATTTGTTTTTTGTTTGTTCTCACAAATGGATGTTCTGTGAGGAAGGAGTTTACATTTCCATTGAACCCCAGCACCCAGTGCTGTGTCTCACACATAGTAGGCACTTATGTGATTAATGAATGAATGAAATAGAGTGAACAGGGGCATGATGGGTGATGCTGAAGGCCGAGGTTTGGAGGGTGAATTTTGACTAGGCAGGGAAGGAGGAACAGACATATGAGGGGTGCCTTGAATTGTGGGTAGGAGTTCACCTAGATGTGGTGGAGGGAGGGGAGTGTCCTGGCTGACAGGGTGGATGTGAACTTACACCATGTCTTTAGTGATTTGTTATAATGGCTACCTGAGGGGATTTTGAGGGTAGAGAGAGAAAATATCAAGATGGTGGTAGGTCCGGAATGTGTTTATTAGATGTGTGGATCTTGTTCAAATGGCAGCCATGAGCCAGTGATAGTTCTTCAGGAGGGTAGTTCTTGCATTGCTTGGGAAAGATCCCTGATGGTGAGTGGAGGATGGTTGCTGGGGTGAGGCAGGAAGCAGTTGGTCCAGGTGGGAGAGGATGAACACTGGGGTCAGAGCAGTGCCTGTGGGACATGTTCCTGTGGCCCCAACAGCACTTGGTGCCTCTGGAAATGTGGGGCAGGAGCCTTCTGAAGTAGATATGGAGCTGGTACTGCCACCATGTACTTCAAGAATCGGTGTGAGAGGAGGCAGCATCAGCCTCACGGAAGTACAGCCTGTGCTGTTGTTGGGGTTTGTGATCTGTGGTTGTCATCTTGAGTTCCTTAATAATTTTATCTGTGAATTTGTGTTTTGTAAGTGAATTCTCATGGTATTATTGGAAGTTTTTCTCGTGTATCCCCATCTCCTGCTACCTCACCCCTCTGCAGGAAGAGTTCTTGACCACCCACTTCCCTCTGTCCCTTGATGTTGTGGGTCCCAGGATAGCCTTCCCATCAGGCATGGTGAGGATCAGGGATGCCTTTGGAGTGAGGCTTGATGACAACAGCATAGCATGATTTAGTGATTTTGTGGGGCAAGTCTTTTGCCCACTGTAATTCATACACTTAGTGTGTCATGGAAATACCCTGGGAGGTGATGAGTTTCCCATGTGCTTTAAGTTTGAATGATGTCTTTGACAGTCTTCTTTGTACTGTGGTTTGGGATGATGGGCCCATGGGAGGAGGAGATGTTTAGGGCATGGTGCATGTGTCTGGTGCCTTGTAGGAGGAGAAGCCTGGCATGTGTCGAGCTGTGTTCACAGTGACTTGTGGGTAGGGCCCTCAGGCACCTGAGAGGGTCTGCATGCACCTGCAGCATGACAAAAGAACAGCAACTTTATTTTTTATTTTTATTTACTTTTTATTTTGAAAATATATTTTATTCATTATGTTATTACAGTTGTCCCATTTCCCTGCCTTCATTCCCCTCCACCCTGCACAACTTCTCCCACTCACATTCCCCCCCTTTAGTTCATGTCCATGTGTCTTAAGTTCTTTAGCTTTTACACTTCCCATACTGAATAGGTGTACTTATTGTATGCAAATTATACCTGAATGAAGATGATAAAAAATAACCCTTCCCAAAGTGTTTCTGGTTTTGTGAATTGGATACCAAGTTTGGGAATCACTGCTCCTAAGCATCAGTGACCCAATAATAAGCTCTGATGTATTTTCCCCCAAGTCTTAATTATTTATTTTATTTTATTGATTATGCCATTACAGTTGTTCTATTCCCCCTTTCACTCCCCTCCACCCTGCAAACCCCTCCCCCACCATTCCCCCCCTTTAGTTTATGACCACGTGTCTTGAGTTCTTTAGATTCTATATTTCCCCTACTATTCTTACCCCCCCCATCTATTTTCTATCTACGGTCTATGCTACTTATTTTCTGTACCTTCTCCCACCTTCTCCTTCTCCCACTCCCCTGTTGCTAATCCTTCATGTGATCTTCATTTCTATGGTTTGGTCCTGATCTAGGGACAGCAACTTTAAATAGCAATTAAAAAATAGTTCCTGGACTACCGGCCAAGATAGAGGTGTAGGTAGATACACTCTGCTTCATCACACAACCAAAAGATGGGCAACAAAAAATTTAATAAAACAGCCAACAACAACCAGAACTGCCAGAAAACTGAACTGTATGGAAGTCTGACAACCAAGGAGTTAAAGAAGAAACATGCATCCAGACTGGTGGGAAGGGCAGAGATGGGCAGCCTGGGCAGAAAGGATGTGTGACAAGGTGGCAGCTGGCAGACCAGGAGGTCCCATATTTGTGTGCAGATAAACCGGGAAGAACAACTGGGCAGCAAGACAGACCATGCAACCCAGTATTCCTGTGCAGGGAAATAAAGCCTCAAAACCTCAGGCTGTAAAAACCTGTGGGTGTTGAGGTGGTTAAAAAAGCTCCCAGACTTATAGGAGAGTTCATTGGAGAGACCCAGGGTCTCTTCAGTGTCCTAGGAGTACACAATTCCACCCACCTGGGAATCAGCACCAGATGGGCCCAATTTGCTTGTGGGAAGCAGGGGAAGTGACTGAGAGCTGGCAGAGAGCCAAGTAAGTCGCACTGCTTCCTCTCTGACCCTTCCCCCACATACAGTGCCACAGCGCAGGACATGGGGTGCCCTGACCTGGCAAATACCTAAGGCTCTGCCCCTTACAAGGTAACAGGCATGCGAAGACAAAATAATATGGCCCAAATGAAAGAACAGATCAAAGCTCCAAAAATAGAACTAAGTGATGAAGAGATAGCCAGCCTATCAGATGCAGAGTTCAAATCACTGGTAATTAGGATGCTCACAGAAAAGGTTGAGTATAGTCACAAAATAGAGGAAAGAATGGAGGCTATGAAAAGTGAAATAAAGAAAAATAGACAGGGAACCAACAGTGAAGGGAAGGAATCTTGGACTCAAATCAATGATTTGGAGCAGAAGGAAGAAATAAATATTCAAACAGAACAGAATGAAGAAACAAGAATTCAAAAAAATCGAGGAAAGGCTTAGGAACCTCCAGGACAACTTTAAATGTTCCAACATCTGAATCATAGGTGTGCCAGAAGGAGAAGAGGAAGAGCAAGAAATGGAAAACTTATTTAAAAAAAATAATGAAGGAGTGGGCCTGCGAATCAAATGATTGCGGTTCGATTCCCAGTCAGAGAATATGCCTGGGTTGCAGGCCAATTCCCAGCAGGGGAAGCATGAGAGGCATCCATAGATTGACATTTCTCTCCCTCTCTCCTTCCCTCTGAAGATAAATGAATAAAATCTTTAAAAAAATAATGAAGGAGAACTTCCCCAATCTGGTAAAGGAAATAGACTTCCAGGAAGTCCAGGAGGCTCAGAGAGTTCCAGAGGAGTTGAACCCAAGGAAGCACCCACCAAAGCACATTCATAATTACATTACCCAATATTAAAGATAAGCAAGCAAAAAAGGAGACAGTTACCTGCAAAGGATTTCCCATAAGAAAGACTATCAGCTGATTTCTCAAAAGAAATCTTACAGGCGAGGAGAGACTGAAGAAGTATTCCAAGTCATGAAAGCCAAGAACCTACATCCAAGATTGCTCTATCCAGCAAAGCTTTCACTTATAATGGAAGGGCAGATAAAGTGCTTCCCAGATAAGATCAAATTAAAGGAGTTCATCATCACCCAGCCCTTATTATATGAAACATTAAAGAAATTTATTTAAAAAAAGAAGATAAAAATATGAATAGTAAAATGACAACAAATGCATAGCATTCAACAACTGAATCTAAAAAAACAAAAACTAAAAACAAACAATAGAACAGGAATAGAATCACAGAAATGGAGATCACATGGAAGGTTATTGGTGGAGAGTGAGAGGGGGAGCAGGGGAAAAGGTACAGGGAATAAGAAGCATAAATGACAGGTACAGAATAGACAGGGGGATGTTCAGAATAGTGTAGAAAATGGAGAAGCCAAAGAACTCATATTTACGACCTGTGGACATGAGCTAAGTGGGTGGGATGCTGGTGGGAGGGTGTGCAGGGCAAAAGAGAATAAAGGGGTGAAAAAAGGGACAACTGTATTATCATAATCAATAAAATATATTAAAAAACACTTCATGATATAGTAAGAGTCTGGGGTGGAAGGAATAAAGCTTTGTATGTTAGTACTTTTAATGGCACATTGTTTCTGATGTTTGAACACAGACATTGCATGTCCATTTTGTACTGGATCTTAGGATTATCTAACTGGTTCTTAGAAGAGAAACAGGTTTTCTTTTGAATGGAGGCAAGTCTAGTTTAGAATACACTGATTTGGAGGAGTTTCTGAGAACTCCTGGAGGAGAGAGTTAGGTTGGGGTCCTGAGCTCAAGAAGGAGACTTGGCAGGTTCCAACGGAATGGAACATGGGATGCTATTGTGGGAAGGGATCTGAATGAGCTGGAGGACACTAA